CGCCAAAAAAATACAGCTTCTAATGGTCATTCAACACCTTTTTTTATGTCACTCAGCTACTCCACCAGCCCCCTGAATGGATTAAATTGACATACTTTGACAGAATAAAACTTTTAAAGTTATTATTGTCTGTTTAAGCAGAGTTATAAAAAAAACAAATGAAATATCACATGGTCCTAAGTATTCAGACGCTTTGCTGTGACACTCATATGTTTAACTCAGGTGCTTTCCACTTCTTCTGATCATCCTTGAGATGGTCCTACACCTTCGCAGGAGTCCAGCTGTGTTTAATTATACTGATTGGATTTAATCAGGAAAGCCACACACCTGTCTACAGTGTTGTGCTCGAACACGTTCACTGAGCGTTCGTTGGTGAACTTGTTCCTTTCTTTTGTGAACTGAACTCGTTCGTATTTTGCCTAACGTTAAAGTGAGTGCATGCGTTCATGAACACGTTTATTCGCCGTTTGAGCTCCAGATCTCCACGGAGCTAAAGCCTAGCTAAAACACCCTGTTTACCATAGAGTTTAAAAAGTAAAACCCACAAATGCGGCCACCATAGGCAGTAGTGGTCGGTGCGGCATCTACTTCTATGCCTATGTTGCATGGAGGACAAACGTCATGGTGCATTCCTTTTACCTCGGAAAATATACAACTGTACATAACATTGATTTTAGAGTCACCCCTAAAAGCTTATCTTGTGAAATAAACACGTTCCCACCACAGCTGCTATCGTTTATTACAAGGAGCAGCTATACTGAACCTCGAATTTGAATTAAAAACATTCTCTGACTTTGGGGGGTGAGCCAGTTCATTATTTCTACTCTGAGTTTGAAATTTACGAGTGTGGAATTAACTTAAATGAACCAGGGGAAAAGTCAGATCTGAAAATACTAGTCATAGAGTTGCACCTGTAATATTTAACTATTCTTTATTTATCTATTTGCTTAGTTTTTTACTAAATCCTTTGGGGCTGATTGTTGCTCTTTATGTAACTTTTTTTTTATTTGGGCAAACAAGTCAGAAAATTCACAGAATTTGAGAAGTTAATTTAAAGATAGTTAAATGTTTTGCACTTTGAGGTGCGTCCTTGATTACCTACCTCAGCCTGATTCTTCCTGTGTATATATTAGGGATGTAAGAAAATATTTATATGGCAATTTATCGCGATGTTTATTCCTGAAATATTAACTCAATATTCAAAAGCCATGTATCAAATTTTTGGTAGATTTTACATGCAACCATTTGTATGTTTTCTTTTCTTTTGGTGCAATTCAAACTAGTTGGCAGCAGTGTGCAATGGGTTTTGTTTCCACCGTTGAAATGTAAATCCCTCTATTATGGTTCAGATACCTCATGTTAAACATGTTAAGTGTTTGAAGTCTTTATTGAATTTTCCTATAATAATTTCAGTGTAAAAAATTGCTAATATTGTCTGATTTAATGTATTGCAATATATTGTATCGTCTCCCCGTACCGTGATTCAATTTAGTCTTTTTAATAAATCTGCATAAATTTCTAAAAATCTGTGTTTTTCTGTCCATATGGGGTCACGTTTGTACATTAATGAGGAAAAATGTGATTTTTATTGATTTTAGCGAGTGGCAGCAATATAACAGAGTAAAAAAAAAATGACGAGGGTCTTGATACTTTCCGTACCCACTGTGCATTCTATAAAGGTTTTGAACCCCTGAAGATATCTGTTGCTTCTTTTCATTTGTAACATTAAATGGGTCAAATGTGGAGTAATTTCTTCAGCGTGTGATGATGGCTAATGGTACTTTAACTTCACCATCTATTTTCTGTCAGAAGCTAATGCAGGAGATTAGAGCTGCAGCTATCGAATATTTTTGTAATCGAGTACTCTATTGAATCTTTTATCGATTAATCGAGTACTCTAATAAATTGCCGTTTTGTGTTTGTAAACCTTCATATCAAATATCATGTTATAAAATATGAAAGACCTCTTGAAATGAGCAAGCAATTGCCAGTTATTCTTTAAGTTGTATTCAAAATTAGTTTTCAAAACTTCAGCACTTCAGCTTTACTTCACAGTAAACAAATCCGAGCGGCTACGGCCCAAACAGCACCAGAACCGTTCACGGCACGTGCGCAAACATGGCTCGCCAGCTGTTTCCCTATTAACACACGTCCGTTCTAATTTCTACACTTTTTTTCTCACACTAACAAGGATTGTTGAAAGCATGTTTGCCGTGGTTATGTCAAATTATACTGATCACAAAACATTTATTTACTTTCTTTCGTTTTCCTCCGCCACTCACAAATACCTGTGTCCTGCAGCAATCCTGAGGGACAACGGACATCATTAACAACACAGTAAAAAGTCCCACGTGTTGTAAAAACTGCTATTTTTAGCACATTTTAAGTCCGACGTGTTGCTACCAGACATACGGTGAGCTGAAACTAAGTGCTACAAACGAAAAAGTCGCACAGTGTCCGCAGAATATATATATATATATATATATATATATATATATATATATATATATATATATATATATATATATATAGAATGCATTATCTTGTAGAGGCTCCGAGTCCGCTTGCAGAAGTGACATTTACATGTGGATCTTTCCTGGTCAGGTTGCAGCATCGAGGAATGTGGTGTTGTTGTAGGCTAAATCCATTTCACAGTATTTACACTGGACTACGTTTTTCGGCTTACGACGTGAAAAATGGTCCCACATCTTTGACATTTTGTGTCAAAAAATTATTACTGAGACTCAGTGACACACTTTGGTGGAGGGATTTGGCATTTAATTTTTCTTGGTATCTGGAAAAACATCTCCTTTAGCCCCCCTTTATTTGACTTTCTGCCCCCTTTATTTTGGTCCAAGATCATTACTGGGCTGGTCCTATTAAAAACGTTCTACACCCCTGCTTAGTAGACTTAAGTATTTTTAAGCCAGTATAAAAATGACAGAAACACAAATTTACATATTTGGCATTAGTGACCAATATCTTTGATTGAATTTATTTGTTAAGAACATCAAGATGCATTACAGTGAACATTATAATAAAGTAAACATTTATAGTGCAGAGAGGAGACAACCCATAGAAGCACTGATTTGAAATCATTTCAGAGAAAAATAGAACAGGTCAGATGCACCTAATAAATAAAATTACCAACATAAACTCAGGAATCTGTTTCTTTGCTTCATTGTTCTGGTGCTGAAAACATCACTAATGCGGATCAGAGATACACAGATGAATGCACCTCTTATTTATTATTTGGAAATTAGTGGGTGTGGTTTACATCAATACATTATTGACAGAGCGCGAAGCGTCTTCGCATCAGACCAGGTTTTCCCCAAAACGTTTTCCGTTTATCTGTGTATCCCACGTTGTTTTCAGGACACCACCTAGACAACCAGCGGTTGAAGGACAGCATGCGGCTAAACATGTCATCACTGGTCCGATCAGGCAGGGGGCCAGAGAAAATTTCAGAGTCTGACATTGTTTTGGCAAACTTACACACCGAAGCAACATTAATTTTAGTGACCTCCGATTGGCGTAACTGGGTGTCGTTACCGCCAGCGTGAATAACAATCTTACTGTATTTACGCTTATCCTTAGCCAGCAGTTTCAGGTAAGATTTAATGTCGCCCGCTCTGGCCCCAGGTAAACATTTAACTATGGTTGCTGGAGTCTCTAATGCCACGTTTCTGACTATGGAGCTGCCAATTATCAGAGTCGGCTTGTCAGTGGGTGCGTCACTGAGCGGGGAAAATCTATTAGAAACGTGGACGGGTTGGTGGTGGCCCACGGGCTGGGTTCTATGCTTCCTGCGTACCGTCACCCGGCCGGCCTGAGATCCCGGCTGCTCGGGTTCTGCTGGAGGACCGCTACAGGGTGATTCTGATCTAGTTAGCCCCACGCTAGCTAAGTAGCTACAACTATCTACACGCTTTTCAACAGCATGGAGCCGGGCATCCAATTCCGACACCCTCGCCTCAGAATCTACAAAAGTGATACATTTATTACACGTACCATCATCACTAAAGGAGGCAGAGGAGTAACTAAACATCTGACACAGAGAGCAAGAGATAGGAGACGGAGAAGCAGAGACAGAAGTAGCCATAGCCATGCTGAGGCTAAGCTAACTGGATGAGCAAACTGTTCAACACCAAATAAACTGTGTGCGAACTCAAATGGTTCCCTAACAGCTAGGTGCAACAACAGAAAATGTGTGTTTTAGCGTGCTTTTGTGCTACAATAACTCAGATATTCTAGTACAGAGAAATTTTATCAGTTTTAGCGAGCCACAAACACCGATCAGCTACACGTAGTGCAACACTGAAAACAGGAAATGCCTTACTGCAGATGCTGCCACCTACAGGATGTCCTGTATATAGAGAGCTGTGATACCCGTCTCTTCAGCACAATGACCGTAACGGGGCCAGGGCAGGTTCTGCGGTGCACTGCCCCCTTTTGGCCCCCATGTGAAACTGCCATTGTTTTGATTTGAATCAAACTGGTGGTAAATAGGAATGTGAGAAAATATCGATGTGGCAATGGATCGTGATATTTTTTCCAGCAATATTATATCGATATTCTAAAGGCGTGTATAACATTTTTGGAAGAATTTAAATGCTTACATTGGTGTATTTTTTTTCTTTTGGTGCCATTAAAATGCCAACCGCTAGATGGCAGCTGTGTGCTGTGGGTTTTGTTTCCGCCATTGAAATGTAAATCCCTTTATTATGGTTCATATACCTCATGTTAAACATGTTAAGTATCAGTTAGGACTGTTTATTGAATTTTCCTACAATAAATTCAGCCTAAAGAATGGCTGATGACGTCTGGCTGAATGTATTGCAATATATTGTGATATATTATATCGTCTCCTGTATCGTGATATGTATCATATCGCCAGAATTTCACCAATACACATCCCTAGAGGTAAATGTGTCCGTCAGCATTTAGATGAAGACTGCTGCACCAACAAAGTCTCCAACGCCGCTTGTTTCTGTGTTCAGGTTTGATGGAAACTTCAATACCAACGTCTCCAAGACCATCTGCTGCGACAGACTCTCACCCACAGTCAACAGCAGAGCTTTTAACCCGGGACGAGACCTCAACTCAGGTGTGTGACACACACACACACACACACACACACACACACACACACACACACACACACACACACACACACACACACACGAAATATAGGGGCAATCATTTGCTTTTATAATGTTTAAAAGCTCCCAACATTTGAACTTTTTTTTTTCTGTTTATAAGTCGTGTATTATTCCAACAATAGTTGTCGTGGTAACAGTTTTCATAAGGGAGCAGTTTGATTTTCTCTCCTACTCGGCTTCTGAAAAGTGAACTAAGCGTAGGGACATTGATGTGAAATTAAAATAAGACTTGTTCTAAAGAGACTTTTCTGAAATCCTCCCCAAACTTATTCAAGATCGAACAATCTCCCTTTTGGCCTTTGAACTTTTCTTTTCAGTTGCTTTTGGGCGGTTTTCGTCATTTAAAAGAAAAAATATTTTTTGAAAGGTTTGTTTTACTTGTGACTTTTCCCAGCAGTTATGAAAAATCCAGTGAGTTTAGGTTTAATTATGCTTTTGTGCTCGTGTGTAACCTCCACACCCTCCTTGGTGATGAGAAAGAGCACCAGAAAACAGTTTGGTGTTCACACTTCTGCCAACAAACATTTTATCTGGTTCCAAGTTACTTCACTTCTCACACAAGAACAAAATGGACCAATCTGGTGACCGACACACACACACACACAAAAACATCTGTTATTTGTCTTCGTCTTCGTCTCGTCTTCGTCTTCCTCCGCTTATCCGGGTCCGGGTCGCGGGGGCAGCATCCCAGTTAGGGAGCTCCAGGCCGTCCTCTCCCCGGCCTTGTCCACCAGCTCCTCCGGCAGGACCCCAAGGCGTTCCCGGACCAGATTGGAGATGTAACCTCTCCAACGTGTCCTGGGTCGACCCGGGGGCCTTCTGCCAGCAGGACATGCCCGAAACACCTCCCCGGGGAGGCGTCCAGGAGGCATCCTGACCAGATGCCCAAACCACCTCAACTGGCTCCTTTCGATCCGGAGGAGCAGCGGTTCTACTCCGAGTCCCTCCCGAATGTCCGAGCTGTCCGAGAATGTCTGTTATTTGGTTAATCAATTTCCCTCTGGGATTAATAAAGTATTTTTGAATTGATTTGAATTGTTAACTTTTGTCTTCAGAAGAAAATGTTTAAGCTACAAACGCTTCAATTCATGGTAAAAATACCAACATCACTTCGATACGTGCTGGAAAAATATATTTCTTTTATTTTATCACTCATCAAAGCTTTTTAGTTAGTTGGAATAATTTTTTTAAAATAAGATTTAAAAATATGGAGGAGTTGAGTCCAGGGTATCAATGCTTGTAAAATGATCTCCAATAAATGATAAATCGCCCGCACTTGTATAGTGCCTTTTAGAATCAGATGACTCCAAAGCGCTTTACACTATCATCCATTCACACACTGATGGTGATTAGCTACAATGACTACGTTTACATGCAGCCAATATCCGGGTTATGATCGGGTTAAGGTCGGTATTCGGGTTTCTGAGTTGATCAGAATAACCCGTTTACAAGCATAAATAGAAAGAGTTACCCCTAACTTGCATAACCCGATTTAAATGCGGACGTTGGGGTAGCGTCAGGACGTATGGACTATGTCCTGACGCAATATGTGTCATTTCCAGTTCTTCTCGTTCCGGTATCCGTGAAAACAACAACATGTTTCCCAGTTCGGAAGAGATAGCGACCGCGTTTGTTTGCGCTTTAGTTTCCTCGTCACTCCAAAAGTGTGGTGCTGTGCCGCGACTCGCCATGTTGCTCCCAACTTGTTTACTTCCGGTGTTCTGGCGCATAGAACACGTCTCGCTACTCAAAAGACCAAGATTCCTTGCGAACAGAGCATGCGCAGAACACACGCTTTGATGGGGATATCCCGATATGCGTTTACACGACCAAACATTCGTGTTAGAAAAGGGTTACCCCAGGTGTAGTAACCGGGTTTTTAAAAACCCGGTTATGAGCATATCGGGGTTTTTGGCGGTGTTTACATGGCCGTGCGGAACCGGGTTATTGTGAATATTCTGGTTTTAAAAGGGTTACTGGCTGCACATAAACTGTAGTCACAGCTGCCCTGGGGAGCACTGGCGGAGGAGAGGTTGCCGAGCACAGGCACCACAAGTCCCTCTGACCACCACCAGCAGGCAAGGTGGGTTATCAGGGTTTTTCCTGGCTCAAATTGAGGTGGAGGTGGTACCATCCTGACCATGCACCAGCACATGCATTCAACTGCCTCACTTCATTTAAAGGCAAACTATTTTTTCGTTAAGTGTTCTAATCTAAGCGTTTGTGGATTAATTGAATATTCCATTTGACAATGTTTTAAGTGAAACAAATTTGGTTTGCTGCGAAATCAGGCTGGGGCGTCCGCCACGCAAATTTGAATGCAGGAAAACCCCTGATTAAGTGTCTTGCTGAAGGACGCAACAGCAGAATTATTTGCCAGGAGTCGGGATCAAACCTATAACCATCTGATTTCTGGACAACCCTCTCTAACTCCTGAGCTACTGCTCCCCCAATGCACACTGCCGTAGTCCTGTTTTGATCAAAGCACTTCACAGATGTAAAAAAAAAAAGAAATCCTTTTATCTTGCAGGAAACAGGGGTTATTATATGTGTTTGTTGAAGAGAATTTGATGTGAAAAGGTAAAAAGGAAAATGGTAACAAAGTCCTTTTCTTTTACATCTGAGGGTCAGTGAATGCAGCACAATTCAGTTGAAGCTAAGTGGAGATAATAAATATGTGGGTGTGGGGTGATTTCCCTCAGAGTTGGATGTGTAGCACTCTACAGATCTAAACCTGTGAAAAAGACTCAGCAGGTCAGGCTTTTTGTTGAGAATTTGGAAATTCATGCATACTTTAAAGATTTCAAAACCAACCAAGACCAGGTACAGTTGATTATGTCATAAATAAACTGATTGTAAAAATGCAGGAGACCATGTGCAATACATTTTTTTCCATCTACTGAACTATTCTGGAATTGATAAGGAGTTGGATAGACAGAGAATTGATAATGGCATTGATACTGATCATTTCCTACCATTACCACGAATGTTCTGTTCATCACTCTTGAATTTTTCTGATGGCCCATGGTAATTCAAACAAGCATGTAAAATGTGCCAGAGTTCGGTGTTAGAGTGGTGTTTTACTGAGAAATAAACAATCAGAAAAACATCCAGGCAGCTCACCTTGTTAAAATGATGCATGGAAAAGTCTGGGTGCCTACAGAAATGCATTTGAAACCCATTTTTAACCCTCCGCTTTCCTCCTCGCATTATTATAGTAGAACGAGAACTTATTTTTATGAATTTTTAGATAAAAAATCTTGCTTCATAAGCACAGTAAAAAATTAAAAAAGATTAATAAAGATAATAATGGGAGACAAAAAACAATAGCTTAATATTTTTATGGAATGATTTATGACTATTGTGAATGATGTGTTAAGCCTTGATTTGAAGGAAACCGTGAATCAAACTGAAATCACAATTCAATCTTTTCCTAAAGTCGTTCAGCCTGCTAGGCTAGGCTGAGCTACTGGTAATGCTAGCTACTGCTAACACTAGCTCGAGCTATGACTAACACTAGTCTGAGCTATGGCTAACGCTAGCCCAAGCCACTGTTAATGCCAGCCACCTTTTGGAGCAGTTTGTGGAAACAGTTAACAGGGGCTCCCTGAGCTGCCTCCGTTTTGCGGCAGAGTAGTGCCATTGTGTTTTATAGCCTAAAGTTTAAAACCCTCTATAGTTGCTCAAAGAACAGTTCCAACTGTAAAAGATTTTTCCAATACCCCTTTAGGTGCGGAAAGTTATTTTTTGACACCACAATATAAAACATACCAGATCATGATCAGCCCTTTCCCCTTGGTCCGTTCATCGCCCTACCTCCTAGTCTTCTTTGGCCAGCAACTTCTCTCTACAAACCTTTCATAACGCCGTCCATTCATAACGCGTCATCATCGGAGGGGTTTTATTTTCTTTACAAGGCCGTCATAATGAGTTCAAGTTACCCCCTCACACCTCCCTTCCCATCTTCTTGTCCCTCACACTCACCTCTCCTTGATCCCCACACTCCCAGTGCATTCAGACTTTCCCATTTGTCTCGGCCCAGTCTAAACAAGCCCACTGCAGAGTGAAGGGGTGGGTGTCTTAAGAACTCCAAGGATAATTGAGAAGGAGAGAATGATGAATGAAGGGAGTGGTGAGAGTGGATTGAAATGGAGTAATTGCAGCAAGGCTTCATTGTATTTCTTCCAGCACCTTCTTTTTATCTTCCATTTTACTTTTTTGGAAGGGTGGGGATGATTGTGGATATGGAAGGCATCAGTACTGATACTGGCAGTTGGGAGAGGACACAAAAAAAACAGGTGGATGAGAGATGACAGAGTCTGAGTGCAGCATGATTACAGCACTAGTTGTTCTTTTTGAAGTATTTCTTCTTGTGTAATTTTAGCCATTTCTCTTCCCTGAGAGGTGCTAGGAAGCATTCATTTGCTGCTACCCCATCCCTCCATCCACCGATCATATATCTTTAATGTCCCCATAGTTAGCCGGTCAATGTTTTGTTCGGGGCCTTTTGACCAACTTGTTTCTGAAATATCTCATCCCTAGGGTTTTTTTCTGCTCAGATTTGCTGGGTAATGAATGAGTTCTCAGCTGTGTAGAAGCATAATGCCTCTTAGGTCCATGAGGTTTATGTTTCCGTCACAGTGAAAAATCTTCCCTACCTTATAGGACCCAGCTGCAGTCAGTTGCAGCGCATGTTCTGACCACCAGTCCTGCTTTCTGTCATGGGAGCGCGCATCGCTCAACACAACTGCTTAGTGAGGAAGTAAATGATAAGAACTGCGAGTGATCATGACCTTTACGTATATTTGTGATAATAACACTTTTTTTTTCATTGTGCCTCCTGAATAAGTCATAATTTTGGGCAGATAAATTAAAGAAATTACTTTAAAAAAAGTTTTATCTGAACATGTTAAAGACAAATGTTTTAAAGTCGGAGCGTCAGGATTTTATTATCTGCTCCCTGGTTCCTAATAACGGGTCACATTCCTGCTTTTTTAACCAACAGCATCACAGTTTCATATGGCGTCAGATGGGTGCCAAAGCGTGCACGGGTCCACATTGCGCTTGTGAACAGGACTCACGCGTGGAAGTTATAACCTCTCGAGTGAAAATATACATGGCGAGAGGTCATTTGTACTGAGAGGGAGCAAACTGTGTCTGTGAGCGCACAAGGATGTGCACAAGTGACAAACTTGTGTGCGCGCGTTGGCCAACGAGCACACAGCAGAGGAAAACATGTGCGCGGCAGCCTCACTGCGCGCACGGTTTCTGATTCTGCTCGCTCGGCTGTTGGGAGTTTTGGCACTCTGGAGGCGTGGCCTGTGGCTGATCTTTTCTGTCCTCTGATTGGTACGTTTTTTTCCGCTCCTTACCCCCTACCTCATTGGCCCATTGGCTTCCTCTCGGAGCACAATGGGAGTAGCGGAAAAATAAATCTGATTCAATTTTTAGTAAGTACTGTCATAGCTCAGCTGGTAGAGCCGATGACTTTCACTCGGAGGATCCTTATAAAATTATAATTGCAATTATACAATCAGTAGTTTTATTTCAGTATGTATTTTTCCAGTATCAAAAAGATAATAATATTATAAGGTTAAAGCTTATGTACAGTTTTTAAAACACTGCCCAGCAAACATTCGGACATTTAATGACACTTGAACAGTCATAACTGTAAAAGATATCACTGGAATAAAAACTAATAACCTTATATGTTATCTGTTGTCCTTGCCTAGATTCGAACCCGTATCCTCCGAGTGAAAGTCATCAGCTCTACCAGCTGAGCTATGACAGTACTAACTAAAGATTGAATCAGATTTATTCTTCCGCTACTCCCATTGTGCTCTGAGAGGAAGCCAATGGGCCAATGAGGTAGAGGGTAAGGAGCGGAAAAAAACTTACCAATCAGAGGACAGAAAAGATCAGCCACAGGCCACGCCTCCAGAGTGCCAAAACTCCCAACAGCCGAGCGAGCAGAATCAGAAACCGAGCGCGCAGAAAGGCTGCCGCGCGCTTGTCTTCCTCTGCCGTGTGCTCGTTGGCCAACGCGCACACACAAGTTTGTCAGTTGTGCACATCCTTGTTTTGGCACCCATCTGATGCCATAGTGTAAGCCCATCTAAATGTTTATGAGCATCACTGCTGATACTCAAGACCAGAACTGGATTATTTGTTAATTCTTTGGGCTCGTGCAGTAGTGTGGAAAAACATTATTGCATTTAAGTAGGTGACGTTTGCCAGAAAACTTTCAAAGACACTAAGTTGGGGGTCTGATAACTCAAATAATAAATTAATTCAACACATTTTATTTCTATTTAAATGTTGTGTAGAATACTATGTGCTCCCCAAGAGTCCATTCTGTTTAAAAAAAATTCACAAGTGAAAAGTATGCAGAGATCTGCATAGTAAATTCATTATATAGAGTATAATATGGTAGTTTTCAGCAGCTCCTTTAGCCCCAAAATAAACGATAATGTTACGAAACTCACTCCAGTTGCTCAGTGTAATATATAAATCCATTTGTTAAAGACTAGTACTTGGTTTCATTTTTTGTAAAACTGAAAGTGTTTTCCTCCAAAAGACTAAAACTAAGATGTCTGCCAAAAACAACACTGGCTGGAGAGGTGCAGTAGTGACGCAAACATGCCCCATTCAGCAGTTTGCAGTAGCCGGGCAGAAGAAACAACAATTCAACATGGTCAAAAGCTCCAAAAGTAGATTTTGCATGATAAAATAATAATGGGTTGGATTTATATATTGCTTTTGTTGGCACTCAAGTGTTTTCCATTATTTACGCACTCTCACATCCATACACTGGATGTGATGTAAGCTACTATATAGCCACAGCTGCCCTGGGGCGGTCTGACAGAAGCAAGGCTGCCATTCTGCACCATCAGCCCCTCTGACCAGCGCAGTCGTTGGGTGTAGTGCCTTGCAGGAGGACACAACAGCAGCACGAGACAACCCACTCTACCTCCTTAGCTACTGCTGCCCGTTAGCCCCTTTAAAGGGTTTCTATGCAACTTGTTATGTTTTAAATTATTTTCTTGAGCCAGTATGTGCTATGTGGTCTGTTGGACTTGAGCTGGCATAGCTGGCGCTGCAGTCTGCTTCCAGCACGTTTCCTGCACGTTTTAGATCATAAACACAGCTGATTTGTTTGATATAGTGATGAACCGCTCCTGTAGACTCTAATGCAGGCTGAGGAGACATTTCAGCAGTCAGATTAAGGTGTTGAATTACGAACACACAGCAAGTTTAATTTATAATGAACAGTAGGGGGTGCTAAAAGCTAATAAAAAAATCAAAGCTAAAAAAACTAAACCCAACTTGTTGAAGTAGGTTGTCATTGAGATTTTATGAAGTGGTTTATATTCTTTTGCAACAGGTTACCATAGTTTTAGATTTGCGTGTTAATGCACTGAGGTGAGTACTTCAGAGTGGGTCATTTGCAGAAGGTCAGGGGTAAGAAGGTCAAAAGAAACGCGTGTCCACTTGTTTTTATTTGCTCTGTCTGTTTCTGAGAAGATTTACATACTGATGGTAGAACAGATCACTGTAGCCTGACATCTGTATGCACAATCCTTCTTCTTCTGCCAACGCAACAGAGAGGTTCCTGTTTACATGAGCCACAAAGATGGATGTGGTGACTGGGTTGGGGTGATATATGATCAGTAAAGCTGGCATGTCTCTGAAAAACCCATCCTTTGCAGAAGAGATGTCACCAGGAGTGTTTTTTTAGTGTTGTTTATCGTAACCAACAGTTGTGTGATTTATTCTTGAGGTGTTTCCGACTTTAGGATTCGTTGAGTGTTAAAAGACCAAATAAAACAGGATTAAAGTCTTACTGCAGAAACAGTTGATGGTTGTCATGGTTTCATGAAAAAGTAGAGGTCAAAGAAGCCAACATCAGAACTAAACAAAAAGATAATAAAAGTCAAAGTAGCATACAGCTGCAGCAGTGTTGAGACTAAACTAAATGTCCCAACATTGTGTGAAAGTCCTGTACTCAGAAAATCTCTTTAATTGTGTGGTCCAAACCTGTTTTTCCCACCTTCTCTAATGCAGTGCTGGCTGACAACCTGAAGTCCAACCCGGGGATAAAGTGGCAGTACTTCAGCTCGGAGGAGGGCATCTTTACGGTCTTTCCTGCCCACAAGTTTCACTGCAAAGGAAACTACGAGCACCGCAGCCGGTACGCAGCGCACGGAGTGGATCAAGATGTCTCTGTTACACGATGCATGATAATCTAGTCTCCATCACTGCTGCAGCAGACGGGCAGAGGGGAGAACCTCAACAGTTTTATCTCCATCACCCTCATGAGCCCTCCCCCGGCTGCTGCAGGGTGGCCCAGAGGGCACGTCGCTCTTGTCCTTCATGACCACACATGTCCTTAGCAGGAATGTGGCTGGGTACTTCTGATGGAATTTCACACTCTGTGCTTTTTTTAAATCATACTAAAGACGTCTTTTTATTCTTTCTTTGGATATTATATGGATGCATCTTCTTCTTTTTTTCCCTTTCTCCTGTTTAAATCAACCTTTTGGCGTTAGGCCATCAGAAAAATGACGAAGTTCTGCTTACGTCTCTTGTGAACAAGGGTTTGTAAGCCCATGGTAGTAGTGTGTGCTTGTCCAGCAGACCACACCCACACAGAGGCACCGACACCCCCACTCATATCCCACCCTGCACATGCACACTCACACACCAAATGAACATTTTTAAGTACTTCTAAGGAATTTATTCCAATTGCATCATCAGATTTTTGAATCTTGTTTAGTAAGTTGATTAAAAGTGTTGCTGCCGTTCAGCTTTTAAACTGTCCACTCCACTGCCTTATCAAATCTGAGGAGGTTGTTTATTTATTTTGGTGCACGGTCTTGCAGGCCTGTGTACGTCTCTGCAGTGCGCCCACAGTCCAAACACATTGTTGTGATGGTCGACCATGGAGTGTCCATAACAGACACCCAGCTTCAAATCGCCCGGGACTCTGCACTGGTCATCCTCAACTCCATTGACGAACATGACAAGGTTTGTGAAATGGATTAGTAAAGAGCAAGTTCACTGAAAAAACATTTTTTACTTATTCATGAAAATGATCTGAGTTTTTCATGCAAGGTGAACATGAAAATTGTCTCCCACACCTATCTCCTCCATTAGCTTCTGATAGAAAATAGACGGTGAAACTCTAGGATTAGGAAAGCCACCCAACTTGACTTGTGACGGGGAAGGCTGTTGTTGTTTTAACGCCCAGGAATCTGCATTGGACGTCTCGGCTAGTGGAAGCTAACCATACCATACCAATTTATTTATTAAGCACCATTTCAAAATAGCATGGCAGCTAACCAAAGTGCTGTACATAAAAGAGGCAAATGCTTGAACAAATCAACAAAACACAATGAAAGCATGAAAATCAGGTAAAATACATAAAATGATAGCATAAATAATCAAGGATAAAAATTCCTACTAAAAACATTAGAATAAGAGAACAGTTAACAGCACTATCAAAAATAAAAATAATGCAACGAATGATAAAAACCATTTGAAGTGGCACAAATAAAACCAAAAAAGCTACAAGATGGTGCAAGGTGTTAAAAGTGAGCTACTGAATCATAAAAACTAAATTAAGAAAAATAAACCCGGTGCTGGATTTTCATGTAAAGTGTCACGGAGGGAAGGCAATACTGAAAAAGTGTGTCTTAAGGGCCGAACCGTTAGCTTTAGCTTCTTCACCACACGGCAGAAGCTCCTCTAGGCTTGTGTTATTTGAAAACATCAATGTTGCAAGTCGGTGGTAGAGTCGGGCTGCAGTTATCCAATGTGAGGCGAGGTGTCCAAATATTAGGAAATAAGACTCTAAAACCTGTCGTCTGAAGCTCCAAGACATCGCCTTGCAAGACCAGGTGCCTTGACATTGAGAAACACCCACAAAGTATCCATTCCTAGGCGAGAAAACTGCAAATGCATTGATTAAATGAGTAAACTACTCCTTTAACTGTAAAGTAAATTCACATCACGTGATGAAACATTATGAATAATCTGGGAAACCTTTTTTGTGGCTCCTCTCTAGATCTCCATCCTGTCAGTGGCAGAAACGGTTCGCTCCTGTTCTCTAGACCAGTGCTACAAGAGTCTGCTGTCTCCAGCCACCAGCGAGACGAAGAGGAAGATGAGCACCTTCATTTCCAACATCAAGGCCTCAAATGGAGCCACTCAACATGCTTCCGGCTTCCAGAAGGCTTTCCAGCTACTCCGCAACACCAGCAGCCTCAGCAGACACATCCCCAGTAAGAAAACCACACGTTGTCACTCCCAGCGTGTCAAAAGCAAACGCTTGGTCAGCCACCCTCCGCTTCAAACCCCTGACGCCATAAGTGCCCTTTTTCATCACTTAAGTACGAAAAGGGGTTTTCCTCCTTTCAGATCCTAATGCAGCGTAAAACTGACGTGATGGGATGTCCGCTGAAGCGACACTGAACCAGCTCATTTAACCGCACCTAAACCTTAACGTTTTGCTATTTATCACCTTCCCCTCTCCCTCATCCTAACCGTAACCCTCTTGCTACCTAAAACGTTACTCTCACTGTAATCAAGCGTTTGTTTCCCCTGCATTCTGACTGTGAATTTTCAGATTTGCCGCCCAGGCAAGGGGAACGTTAGAACATTCCGTCTGGTGAGGGGGAGGTTACAAATACCCTCTACACCTAACCTCCAGGGTGGTAGTTGAAACTAGTGATGCACCGATGGATCGGCATTTGATCGTAATCGGCCGATAGCGCCCCTATCGGTTTTGATCGGAATTTTCAAAATAGATCAAAGCAAACCGATCAGGTAGGGTTGTCACGGTAACCAGTGTAGCGCTAAACCCCGGTAAAAAAAAAAGTTGACAATAATAACCGTCTTGTTTTTAAAAAACTATATTATCTTGGTGGGATTACCGTGGCTGCGGTGTAGGCGCGGTGACCCTTACCAGCCACCGTATCATCTGCAGAAGTTGCCGGCGGCACATGCGCGCTTTGTTTACAACAAAACTTTCTTGAAGCTAAAGCTGAAATAATGGTCAAAGGAGGAGACGGCAGCGCTCAGGAGGACATTTATTATCCCTCAAAGAAGACAAAGTGGGAAGTACGGGCATATTTTAGATATTTGAAGAATGCCGAGGGAGTTTATAGAAGACGGACGGCTATCCTGTTTGCAGCACGTGCAGAAAAAGTGTCTGTGAAAGGCAGCAACGCTTCAAATCTCATGACACATCTGCGTGACCATCACCCACAACTCTGCAGTCAACGCAAGGCAAGCTAACGTTAGCGTTTTAGCTAAAATGCGTGATCCGAGGATTTGGGTTGAGGGAGAATGCAACGAGTCGCTATATAAAGCAGCCGCAGCGCCGCTATCTGCATATAAACCGTGTCGCGGACACCGCCATGTTGAAATGACGCTATGCATTACGGGGCTCCCAGGGGCAGATAAGAGTTGGTCTCTCTCCGAGAATAATTATGAATTTAACAATGATTACTGCCTGATGACATTTTCCCACATCTGCAAAGCTCACTGGAAGGACACAAACCGAGGACACTATTTTCCTGATATACGGATTGCTCAAGTAAGGGTAAAAAAGTATCTGATTAGAAGGCTACTTGAGTACTGAGTATCATCTGATCTAATATTTTTAAAATGATGACATCAAACAGACATAAAATACGAAGTTATGGGCAAATATTGGTATTTTAAAGACTAAAGGGGATAAATGTAAACAAATAAACAACATAATTACAAAATAACACATTTTAGGCAAAATTTAGACACAAACTGAGGACAATATTTCCTGACATACAGGGTTTATTTAATTGTGTGAAAATGTAGCACGTTTAAAAAAAATACCGCGATAATACCGAAAACCGTGGTAATTTTGGTCACAATAACCGTGAGGATAAATTTTCACACCGTGACAACCCTAATACAGACCATTTTAGATTAGGTTACATTTCCTTTATTCCCAGATTATGTAGTTTGTAGCACTCATTATAATGTTGTAGAAAATTTCTGGCTAATCCACGTGATCGGTATCGGTGATCAGCATTCTTTGATATCGGTATCGGTGATCGGCAGCAAAAAACCTGATCGGTGCATCCCTAGTTGAAACCTCCCCCTCGCGTTGCCTCGGTCCAAACCCGACCAATGACGAGGTGGCTCCTGTCGTTAACTTCATAGAGCCGGCTCTTAGAGCGACCGACACATCACTAACGTGTTCGCTAGCATGATCAGGGCCAGATTAAAACTTGGTTGTACCCTGGGCAACAATATTAAAGGGCCCCATCATCACAACCCAAGGGCCACCATAATATGGTCACATACAGAATATTTTACTGTAATATGCAGTAAATATACTCAATACTTGAATGCCTGACATCACGTAACCCGCTCAGGGTAACCTTTGACCCACCTCGTGTGGACTGACCAATGAGGAGAGGGTCTTAACTTGAGGCCCTCTCTTCATTGGTCAGCCTGTATGTGACTGAGTCTCAACCGCTCTCAACGGACGTTCAAAGTCATTGAGTGTGTTTACATGCAGCCAGTCACCCTTTTAAAACCCGAATATTCACAATAACCCGGTTCCGCAGGTCCTTGTAAACACCGCCAAAAACCTGGATATGCTCATAACCGGGTTTTTAAAAACCCGGTTACTACACCTGGGGTAACCCTTTTCTAACCCGAATGTTTGGTCGTGTAAACGCATATCGGGCTATCCCCATCAAAGCGTGTGTTCTGCGCATGCTCTGTTCGCAAGGTATCTTGGTCTTTTGAGTAGCGAGACGTCTTGTATGCGCCAGAACACCACAAGTAAACAACAAGTTGGGAGCAACATGGCGAGTCGCGGCACAGCACCACACTTTTGGAGTGACGAGGAAACTAAAGCGCAAACAAACGCGGTCGCCATCTCTTCCGAACTGGGAAACATGTTGTTGTTTTCACGGATACCGGAACAAGAAGAACCGGAAATGACGCATATTGCGTCTGGACATAGTCCATACGTCCTGACGCTACCCCAACGTCCGCATTTAAATCTGGTAATGCAAGTTAGAGGTAACTCTTTCTATTTATGCTTGTAAACGGGTTATTCTGATCAACTCAGAAACCCGAATACCGACCTTAACCCGATCATAACCTGGATATTGGCTGCATGTAAACGTAGTCATTGGCAGCGAAGCGTCTCTGTGCAGCGCAAAGGGGGAAGGAGGGGGGAGGGGGGTCATTTAGCCTTGGCCCCCAAAATGCTTTGAAACGGCCCTGGGTGTGTGACTGAGTTTTGAAGGTGATCTGAATTGTATCAAATGTGTAAATATTACATGTGTAAAACTTGTTGTTTTATACAGGTAAAAACGCGTAGTGGAGATAAATCTACCTACATTTTACTTTTCAACACTTTGTTTTGTTTTCTTGTTTTTATTCAACTATTTTCCTGTCCTGTCTGTCTCTCATCTTCCTGCATCTCCTCTAAACTCTCCAGAAAAACTGCTGCCTGGATTCTTACTTTTTCACCTCACCAGTTACTTTTGAGCAGATCAAAGGGATCTCCTGACCGCAAAGCGGAGAGCGTGTTTCGATGCTGCGTCAGTGAGGTGAAATCACCGCAGCACAGGTGATGAGCTCCGCAGTAGCAGAGCGCTTCAGGCACAAATAAGACAGAAAGTAGAGAACATGTGCGGACATGAACGATTGTGTGTTAATTATAGTTTTTTTGGTTGCGCCACTTTGAGAATGGACCGTGCGCTGGACGCAGCAGCCTGGAGCGCTGCGCACCAAAGATCATCGCTCTGCCGCTCTCTTGCTCTCTGCTCAAAAGAGTCCATAAATGATGTAATATAGGTAGAAAATGTTTTTTCCGGCTCCCCTGGATGTGTAGGATATACAGCTCCCCCATAATTCGATCCCTGCTCCTGGATGAAAAACCGGACATTTTCATCGATACAAGAACCCCCAGTCCGCACGCCCCGGACAGAGAGTGAAAAATGGACATGTCCGGGGAAAAGCGGATGTATGGTCACCCTAGTTTAATATAAGATTACAGATACAGTATTTTGCTCGTACCCTTGCTGCCCTGGGCCCTTTAGAGTTCGTGGTCCCCTGGGCAGTTGCCCAGGTGGTTAATCCGGCCTTGAGCAAGATGGTTAAGGTTAGGATAGGGATAAGGGGAAAGTTAAGTAACAGGAGGATAAGGTTAGGGTGAGGTACAATGAGCTTGTTTGGTGCCCCGGCTGCGGACATCCCATCGCGTCAGTTTTACGCTGCATTAGGATCTGCAGTCTTAAAGGAGAAAACCCCCTTTTCATACATAAGTGACGAAAAAGGGCACTTTTGGCGTCAGGGGTCTGACACGGAGGGTGGCTGACCAAGCGTTTGTTTTTGTCGCACTGGGAGTGAGAATGTGTTGATAAAACAGTGCTGAGGAGCATGTTTGTGTAAATAGACGAACCCTCTAAGGATTCAGTGTGATAATGAACGGGTCGTGTCCCTCTATCAGCCACAGACATGGTTATCATCTACCTGTCGTCTGGAGTTACGTCTCGAGAGACGTCTGAGCTGGAGAAGAGAGCCACTCTCAGTGTGGTCAGAGAGGAGAACCGACACCTCAACAACTCTGTCATGATCCTCACTTACGCCCTCATGAACGGTGAGTCGCTTTATTTTTGGCTTTCTTCTGGAAATCAGACCAGCTTGGAACAGGATGTGTTTTTTCCCAGAGTTTCTGAAAAAGGTTTTTATTAAAGTGTCGTTGTCCAAACACAGAAGCTTGTTCTGTGTCACGTTGTGTAAAATAACACGGGCTACCAATGAGTGTAATGTTTTGTCAATGAAACAAATACATATTTTTTTCACCTTTGAAATGTACAACCCTGGAAAACCCTCATCCAATCATTTTGAATGTCCCGTTCTTAATGATAGGATCGTGATCCATCCATCAAACTGCTCTCTGACCCCTCTGTTGTTCTCAGGTTGTTGGTACGGCTTAGCTGCTGTGATTTTGAAGTTGAGAATAAACCAGAAAAGCGAAAATGGCCTTATTTTCGCCATGAGAACATCACACTATGTTAGCTAGCATGCTAAACAGTTATACGGTTCTGCAGGTGTGTTACTTTGGGAATTATGGAAGAAAAGGTGCCAACAACTAGCCTGGCAAGCCAGACTAAATAAATGTATTATTTAGTGTGGCCACGCTCCACTGACGGTTCTCGGTTGTGGGGCGGGTTCTACCGTTGTCTTTCAAATGATCTCCGCATTCTACTGGACAATGAATGTGACATACTCTTGTTTCACTCTGTTGCATCATCCCACCCACCAGGCATATAGAGTGCCCTGATTGGCCCACAAAACGGATAAAGCTCTGTGATTAGTTCACTAAGCAGATAGAGCACTATGATTGGCCCACCATTATGGACCAATCACAGCTCTTTATGTGTTTGAAACCCCTCTAGAGAGCTGTGATTGGCTAGCCAGAGTCCTGGTAGGAGCTGCGGAGGTTCCAATGGAGCGTGCCTAGACCAAACTTTGCAAAGCAAGAATTTGGTCTAGTTCACTAGGCTAGCCAACAACAGGTCTGAATCACACAGCTGAACCTTCGGGAACGAGCGTTAGGCAATCTTGTGTTGTCAAGGTGCAGTTCAGGGGGAAAAGGGGTTAAACCCGTGTCACCCTGGACACAGTCTGTTTGACTCGCTCCCATCTGGCGGGGGGCTCAGATCCATTCGGAGCAGAACCTCTCACCACAAGAACAGTGTCTTCCCCTCAGCTGCTGGACTCAACAACGAAAATCCTAGGTCTCTCTCTTTGTGCCCTCTCTGGATATAGTAGCCGCTTCTCTAATTTTTGGCACTTTATATTATTATTTTATCATGACTATATTCTTGCTTCCTATATTTGCCTATTTCTTATTTTATCTTCTTTTGCACCAAGTACCACAGCAATTTCCTAATGTTGTTATTCTCACACATATGCCAGTAAAACCCGTCTACTTCTAAAGATTTGGGTTGTGTTTATTCAAAAAGTGTCTTTCAGAAACTCATATTTAAAAAATTGTGAAATTTCAGTTTATTAGCAGAATATGAGCCAGAATCAGGTGCAAATGAAAACAAGAAACACAATAGTATTGTGTTTATAAGTTAAATATAAAAGGTCTGGTGGAGTTATGTCGTTTCCTCTGGTTACACTGTGTGTGTGTGTGTGTGCGTTCGTGCGTGCGTGCCTGTCTGTCTGTCAGTCTTCTCGATCCCCAGTGAGTCATGGCGGATGGCTGCTTATACTGAGTCAGGATCCTCTGAAGGGTTCTTCCTGTTAAAAGGGAGTTTTCCTCTCCGCTGTCGCTGCATGCTTGCTTAGTATGAGGATTGCATCAAGACCTACTGATTGGCTAAATGAACTGACCTGTATTGGAATGTTTACTATGTGAAGTGCCTTGAGACGACTCTTGTTGTGATTTGGCGCTATATAAATAAACTTGAATTGAGTTGAATGCTGTAAAGACTCCAATGCAGAATGAGATATTTATGTTTCTTTTTCTTTCAAAAACTCATATTTGAGTATCTTTAACTTTATCCCTCTTTGGCTCTGCTGGCAGCTTTTTATGTTTTAAATCTTTTCATTAGATATTCTGTTTTTGCGCTCAAGAGAAGACTGGAGTGTGTGTGTGTGTGTGTGAGAGTTGGTTCGAGGTGTGTACTCTTCCTTTTTCCTCTTTCATCGTCTTTGTCTTCCCATCTGCCTCCTCTGAATCCCACCTTCCTGCACCGCGCTCCTTCTGTGCATGCATTAGTCCACCATTTATACAAATGATTTCTGCATCGGAGAATGGAAATGAGGTACATCTAAGAGAAGGCAGCGTGAGACTTCAAAGGGCGTGCTGCTCCCTCTGTGTGTAACTGACGGAGGACCTTGGCTCTTTCAAGAGAGATGATGAAAAGGATGCAGAAATCTGTCATTCTGTGAGTTTTATTAGCATCGCATATTGAAAAAAAAAACATCTGTTTTGTTGCTGATGCTGTTGCACATTGCTGAAAGGCCTGCTGTGGGTGGGCGGAGCTTGATTTACTGCATCTCCTGCCAAATGTGAAGTGCTGATTGTTCAAGGAGCTCAGCAGTCCTCTGGCACAACAATACACAGTTTTGTGCGTGTGTGCGTGCGTGCGTGCGTGCGTGTGTGTGTGTGTGTGTGTGTGTGTGTGTGTGTGTGTGTGTGTGTGTGTGTGTGTGTGTGTGTGTGCGTGTGTGTGTGTGTGTGCGTGCGTGCGTGCGTGCATGAGTGTGTGTGTGTAAGCCAGATGTGACTCTTGAAAAACATAAAGCTGCATAAAAATATTTAAATTTCTACTCCGATTTTTCCACCACTGATCGATACTCATGACACTTAACACGTTTTTGTTTTTCTTCAATCAAATTTGTTGGATATTTTTGACCCAGATTACTTTAATTAACCTTCAGAGACATGTTAGAAGCATGAGAGAATGAAATTTGTCTCCCTAATAAACATCTACAGCCATATTTCAGAGAAAATGGGCAGAGGATAGCTAAAAGGTCAGCAAAGGAAAGTTCTCAGTCTCACAGAAGCAGTCGGTCCTGATGCTGGCCTGTCTTGTGCCTGACGGTGAAAATCATGGGCTATATAATAATGATAATAATAATGCATTGAACTTATATAGCGCTTTTCAAGACCCCCAAAGATGCTTTCACGCACTACATTCACACACTGCTAGTGATGGTAAGCTACTTGTAGCCACAGCCGCCCTGGGGAGGTCTGACAGAGGCGAGGCTGCCATTTGGTGCCGTCGGCCCCTCTGACCACCACTAACACAGGCAAGTTGGGTGAAGTGTCTTGCCCAACGACACAACAGCAGGATACCCCTGGCGGGAGCTGGAATCGAACCCATGACCCTCCGATCATGAGGCAACCCGCTCTACCACCTGAGCTACTGCTGCTACCTGGATTGGGTCTGATATTTTCTTTACTCTGGTTCTGCGTGTCCTGGTGTGATGTCATGATTATATGTGACGTGTCCTTGGTATCACTCTACTTTGCTGGAGTTGCTCCGGGTGAGAGGCGGAGGGCTGGGGTTGGCTTTTTGTTAGCCCCGAGACTCTCTGCCTGTGTGTTGGGGTTTACACCGGGGGACAAGAGGGTAGCTTCCTTGCGCCTTCGGGTCGGGGAACGGGTCCTGACTGTTGTTTGTGCTTATGGGCCAAATATCAGTTCAGAGTACCCACCCTTTTTGGAGTCCCTGGGACGAGTGCTAGATAGTGCTCCATCAGGGGACTCCATTGTCCTGCTGGGGGACTTCAATGCTCACGTGGGCAATGACAGCTTGACCTGGAGGGGTGTGATTGGGAGGAACGGCCCACCTAATCTGAACTCGAGCGGTGTTTTGTTATTGGACTTCTGTGCAAGCCGCAGTTTGGCCATAACGAACACCATGTTCGAACATAAGGATGCCCACCGGTACACTTGGTACCAGGGCAGCCTAGGTCACAGGTCGATGATAGATTTTGTAGTCGTATCATCTGACCTGCGGCCGTATGTTTTGGACACCCGAGTGAAGAGAGGGGCGGAGCTGTCAACTGATCACCACCTGGTGGTGAGTTGGATCAGATGGCAAGGGAACATGCCGCGTAGACCTGGCAGACCCAAACGCATAGTGAGGGTCTGCTGGGAACGCCTGGCAGAAGAACCTGTCAAGACGGTCTTCAACTCCCACCTCCGGCAGAGCTTTGACCACGTCCCGAGAGCAGTGGGGGACATTGAGTCCGAGTGGGCCTTGTTCCACTCTGCGATTGTCGAGGCGGCTATTGCTAGCTGTGGTCGTAAGGTGGCCGGTGCCAGTCGTGGTGGCAACCCCCGTACCCGCTGGTGGACACCAGAGGTTCGGGGAGCCGTCAGGCTGAAGAAGGAGGCCTACAGGGCGTGGCTGGTCTGTGGGTCTCCGGAGGCAGCAGACAGGTACCGGATAGCCAAGCGGGGTGCAGCAGTGGCAGTTGCCGAGGCAAAATCTCGGGCGTGGGAGGAGTTTGGTGAGGCCATGGAGAAAGACTATCGATCGGCTCCAAAGAGGTTCTGGCAAACTGTCCGGCGCCTCAGGAGAGGAAGGCAGCAACTCGCTCACACTGTTTACAGTGGGCATGGGGAGCTGCTGACGTCAACTGAGGCTATAGTCGGACGGTGGAAGGAATACTTTGAGGAGCTCCTCAATCCCACTAATGCGCATTCCGAGGAGGAACCAGAGCTGGGAGGCCTGGGGATGGACTGTCCGATCTCGGGGGCAGAAGTTGCTGAGGTAGTCAAACAACTACACAGCGGCGGAGCCCCGGGGGCGGATGAGGTTCGTCCTGGGTATCTCAAGCCTATGGATGTTGTAGGGCTGTCATGGTTGACACGTCTCTACAACATTGCGTGGTCATCGGGGGCAGTTCCTAGGGAGTGGCAGACCGGGGTGGTGGTCCCCATCTTTAAGAAGGGTGACCTGAGGGTGTGTTCCAACTATAGGGGGATCACACTCCTCAGCCTCCCTGGAAAGGTCTACGCCAAGGTACTGGAGAGGAGGGTCCGATCGATAGTTGAATCTCAGATAGAGGAGGAGCAATGTGGTTTTCGTCCTGGCCGTGGAACTGTGGACCAGCTCTATACCCTTGCAAGGGTGATGGAGGGGGCATGGGAGTTTGCCCAACCAATCCACATGTGCTTTGTGGATTTGGAGAAGGCTTATGACCGTGTCCCCAGGGGCACCCTGTGGGGGACGCTCCAGGAGTATGGGGTGGGTGGCTTTCTGTTAAGGGCCATTCAGTCCCTTTACCAGAGGAGCGTGAGTTTGGTCCGCATAGCCGGTAGTAAGTCGGACCTGTTCCCAGTGAGGGTTGGACTCCGCCAGGGCTGCCCTTTGTCACCGGTTCTGTTCATCACTTTTATGGACAGAATTTCTAGACGCAGCCGTGGTGTGGAGTGTGTCGAGTTTGGTGGCAGGAGAATCTCGTCTCTGCTTTTTGCGGATGATGTGGTCCTCCTAGCTTCATCCAGCTCTGACCTTCAGCTCTTGCTGGGTAGGTTCGCGGCCGAATGTGAAGCGGCTGGGATGAGGATCAGCACCTCCAAATCTGAGACCATGGTTCTCGACCGGAAAAGGGTGGCTTGCCACCTCCGGGTCGGGGGAGAGGTCCTACCTCAAGTGGAGGAGTTTAAGTATCTCGGGGTCTTGTTCACGAGTGAGGGTAGGAGGGATCGGGAGATCGACAGGCGGATTGGTTCGGCGTCTGCAGTGATGCGGACGCTGAGCCGATCTGTCGTGGGGAAGAGGGAGCTGAGCCAGAAAGCCAGGCTCTCGATTTACCGGTCGATCTACGTCCCAATCCTCACCTATGGTCATGAGCTTTGGGTAATGACCGAAAGAACGAGATCGCGGATACAAGCGGCCGAAATGAGTTTCCTCCGTAGGGTGGCCGGGCTCAGCCTTAGAGATAGGGTGAGGAGCTCGGACATTCGGGAGGGACTCGGAGTAGAACCGCTGCTCCTCCGGATCGAAAGGAGCCAGTTGAGGTGGTTTGGGCATCTGGTCAGGATGCCTCCTGGACGCCTCCCCGGGGAGGTGTTTCGGGCATGTCCTGCCGGCAGAAGGCCCCCGGGTCGACCCAGGACACGTTGGAGAGGTTACATCTCCAATCTGGTCCGGGAACGCCTTGGGGTCCTGCCGGAGGAGCTGGTGGACAAGGCCGGGGAGAGGACGGCCTGGAGCTCCCTAATTGGGATGCTGCCCCCGCGACCCGGACCCGGATAAGCGGAGGAAGACGAAGACGAAGACGAAGTGTCCTTGGTATGTCTCAGTTTATTCACCGTCAACTCTCCAAAGTTGTTTCGCATTTCTCAAAAGCTAAATCAAGGCTGGTTCGAAACACATTAGAGACTGGTTCAAGACTTGCAGATTTTGCAATCATCTCTGTGGAGATGGAGAACCCTTATGCATTTTAAGACAGTTTTGAAACTCCTTTGTTTTCCTTATGACTGTGGTCCCACCTCCTGTTCTTTCTCAGGATGTGGGATTGAGAAGATAAAATAAAGCCCAATTTATACTTCTCCATCTGCGTTTGTACGGAGACATGCAATGCCATTATGTGTCAGCGCAAGGGCTCTCCGACGGGCTCGCAGAAGTTGATGGAGAAGGGCGCCAATTTTTAACTATCCGTCAAAAGAGACGGAGGCCGCAAGCTTGTGATTGGCCGGGACGCTGCTTCCTGTAAATTCATCAACAGCACCGCCATTGCCCCGTCAAAAAGTCAAAAGATATTTAGCGGCAGACATGGAACAGATTGAGCAGATAAAGTTAGAAAATATCAACGTCTATTCTTCCGTGACTAAAGGAGAAGAAAGATATGCAGCAAGCGTTTTCTTCGTGGACAGAAAAGACTAGAAACGTGGGTTTAGAGGTGCTGATCGCATGAAGAGGTGGAGGGGAATGAGGGACACATTTGTTTGTGTTCAAAAGGCTCTGAAATACATTATAATATAATATAAAATAGGGCTGGGCGATATGGCCTAAAATCAATATCACGATATATTGAGTATTTCACCTCGATCACGATAAATGGACGATAACTACAGGTATGTGCAGACATAAAAGTTGTCCACTAGATGGAGCTGTCACGTGTATTACGTTGAGTCACATTTTTACGTGACTCAAGCCGGTTCAGCTTCTTAAAGGGACGTGAACGTTGCCAACCTACACACATCTTTTAATTTTTTTATTATTAGATTTATTGACATGGGTAAAATGATCACAACAAGAGTCAGAAAGTTTGATAACAATACATTTTTGATTTATTGCCCAGCCCTAGTATAAAATAAATGCAATATAAACACAGTAGTAGAAACACTATCGTGGACTGGATACGTGACTGTAATGGTGGCAGGATACCTCAGAATAGCGTTACGCCCTCAGTTGTCCTGGTGGGGAATTGTTTTGTAACACTCCCCAGCCGACGCTAAAGTCCGAGATCAAGACGTGTCTGTCAGTCACACGACAGAGAAGTATAAATTAGTATCACATTATAACGTCTCCTCTGTTGTGATCCATAACATATTCCCATTCACTCCCTTACTGACAATTTCATAATCCGAATTTGAACCCGTGTAAGAATGGAGTAAGGATAAGATCTTGTGTTCAAACTGGGTACTGCAGACCATTTCTCTAAACAAAAAGTTACTTTCTCACTTCCGTTCCGGGAGTTTCGGGGCTGTTGCCAGTTACAGATCAGCAGAGGTTCTCGATGACAAGTAAAGTCATACGCAGCAAGTTTATACGTAGATTCAAATGTTTTGTTATATCTGGTGTTAGCACTCTTTGGTGTTTTATGTTAGGGAGCTCTTAAGCTTGGTTTATGCTTGACGCATTCACTTTCCGCTTGGTGATGCGACTCGCGGATGGAACGCGCTTCACAACTTGCAGCGTTTATGGTTCATGCGGCTCGTCTCTGCGGTGACCCGATATTCTCCCAAACTGAACGGGGCAGCATGGAGCTCTACGCCATGCATACAACACTACACCATAGTAGAAGTAGAAATTACTGTTTACAACATGGTATTTCAGTATTTTTAACAGCGTCCTCGTCTTTTCCGACAGTGCGAGCTATTTCTCTCCAAGAATTATTAACAACATGTTGATCACGGTGATCTCTGAGAGCTGAATCATACAAATGTCTGTATTTGTGAACCTCTGCCATACTAGTTCTTGCCGGTCCGCCATGTTTTTCCGCGTCCGTCCATCCGTGTGGTTAGAAATTTTCCTAGGTGCACGTTGCGGAAATTTTGGGCCATGCGGATACGCGGTGGAGGGGCGTGGTTGTTAAAATGACGCAATTTCGCCGCGCAGAGCCGTGCGGACCTCGCGGACGCGTCAAGCATAAACCAACCTTTACTGCACTTAGGATAGTAAGACTATTATATTAGCGAAGTTTTCCGTCTTCCTGTTATAGTTCTGAATGACTTATAAAAAGAAGTAAAAGGCCACAATCAACTCATTATTTACTTCACACACACACACTTCACTGTAATATCAAGTTCTTGGTAATTGAGAACGTAGCTTGAGATATTTATTGAGCCAACTATTTGCTTCTAATTCACTGTTAGCATTGTTTTCTTTCTTTCTTTGCTCAACAGTAGCCTCTAGCTTGCGTCACACGATATTATAGCAAAACAAGTAGATGCCGGCTTCTTATGGGTACAAGAAATAACTTCTAGGTCCCTCTCCTGCTTACTGGATTCAGATCTTTAAACAGCTCTGGAGCATTTAGCTGGCCGAACTACAAATGCTGGCAGTGTTGGCTCAGTGAACTTGCTCTTTAAGTCAGCACAATGAGGCAAAAAAATGTTTTTTTTGTTGTTTTTTTTTATCAGAAGCATCACTGTTTTTAAAGATGTTTGGTCTTTCTCACAATACTTTCTTTTTTTTAATTGGGTGCCATGGTTTGTCAGGATCATTGTTGTAGGAACTGCTGGTGTTCTTCTGAATCAAAATCTGAGCTGTCAGCAGAATCTCCTCCCTCGGTTAGCTTGACGCTGCCACCCATGGCGACGTCTCCTCCAGCATGCGGTCCAGCTTGGTGATCAAAAGAGCAGAGCCTTGGCATTAAAAAGGGATTCTGCTGTAATCCGTTCAATGATTGGACGCTGGCAGGCATTCTGCTCTGTCCTTCTCAGTGGGTTGTGGGTTGCCAAATGTTCCAGGTGACAGCTGTAAGGACCTGCCATTCATCCGTCCATCCTCCAGATGACCTTCTGATGCTTGTAGAGATAAGATCTGAAGTGGGCATTAAAGCCTTTGTGGTCTGTGTGCGGTTTTTAGTAACGAGGGATTTATTTATGTCATGATCTCAGAGCTTGACAGATGACAACTGAGCGCTGCAGGAGCATTCAGGTCCAGCTTATAGAGATCATCGTGCAGCAACACAAGCTGAAGCCTGCATGCATGAAAAAGACAAACCTACCATGGGTTCAGCCTGTTTGGTGAAGGGTTAGGTTATCAGAATGTTCTCTAGTGAAGAGCTGTCTTTTTAGCTTCCTTTGAACTGATCTCTCCTCCTTTCAGACACCGTTGACGCTTTTCCACTTGTTCCTAACCCGACTTCTTCTCCGCCCCTCCTTCAGAGGGAGTCACGGGCTTGAAGGAGCTGGCCTTCCTCAGAGACCTCGCTGAGCAGAACTCAGGAAAGTACGGCGTTGATCGAACATTCAGCCGAGAGCGCGCCGCTGCTGTGGCGCCGCCCAGCTCAGCTGGAGCCTCAGTGATGCCGGTGGTGAAGGGCAGCATGATGGTGCTGAACCAGCTGAGCAACCTGGAGACGACCGTGGGACGGTTCTACATCAATCTGCCCAATCGCATGATCGACTTGGCCCGCTTCAGCCTGCCCTACTCCGACCCCATGGGAGACGGTGAGATCGCTTAAATCCTGTCAGCTTTTTACTCAGTCAGGTTTATTTTAATGAGTTAACTTTCTAAGAATAATAAAAAAAATAGCATTCAAGTATTTTCTATGGTCTAAACATGTGTGGCAGACTCAGAGATGTTTAAAATGGATCAACAGATGCAAAAACCTGCTTTGCTCTCGTATTTTAAAGGTTTTTTTTGTGTGTGATCATTAGTAGGAAAACACTTAATATGAGGAAGCAGCTTTCTCTCCCATTATCCAACTAAAACAGTTGAGATGAGTAAACTTAAACTTCTCTCTCCAGGGTTCATCATGACCGTGAGTCGGCCCTGTTACTTTGGTAACATGCTCCTGGGTGTGGTCGGGGTGGACGTGAACCTGGCCTACATCCTGGAGGACGTCACCTACTACCAGGACTCTTTGGCTTCATACACCTTCCTCATAGACAACAAAGGTACTTCACAAACACACGCACGAGTCAGCTTAGTGAAAGCCGGTGAAATCTTAGAAAGATCAGCCTTGCTTTGTTACCTAGCTCAGTTTCAGTCTCAGCTGAGAACGTTTAGGCTCAGTTTTACGGGCTGGCTGTGAAGCAGCGTAATCGTCACAAATGTTCTGCAAACTAACCGCCGCAAGTAGATTTTTCATGACTTATTTTAGAAGGCAGGTGAAGCAGGTGGCCTTGTTGTGTTTTGACCCTCACAGTCAGTGACATGAACAAGAGGGGGACCGAGGACAGGGTATCCGCGGGTCCTTAAAAAGTCTTAAATTAGTTTTTCCAAATTTAAGGCCTTAAAAATCCTTAAAAATGACAAATAATCCTTAAATACAGTTTCCAAAGGTCTTAAATTACCAAAGACCCAATAAACAAGATTATTTTATTTCAATTTTCATTAATTTCTAGTTAGTGTTCAGCATTTTTTGTGTATGACGTTGGCGTAAGCGGAACCGTACACATTCAGTTGGTTGTGAAAGGGGGCTTTTTTAGATGAGCACATTAGCTGGTTAAGCTAGTGGGAGATTGCGCCATGGGGACGTGCAACTTTTATGGTAACTGGATGGCTAATCCCACATTCGCGACGTGGTTAGCACCAGTTCCAGGCAATAGCTGGAAATTATAGCTTACATTTGGTCAAAGTGACCTTAAAAAGGTCTTAAAAAGTCTTAAATTTGGCTCCCTTAAACCTGCAGATACCCTGGAGGAGCTGAAGTTAATGTGGTAGTTGATACGAGTCCTCAACATGACACTTTAACTGAAATTATAGTTAGAAAGTAGAAGAAAATGGAGGCGACAAAAAGAAAAGTTGCACAGAAGATGATATTTACTCACCTGGACAACCGGAGCTCTGAATATCTGAGTTTTAGGTGCAAGCAGCATTTAAGTTATTATTCTTATAAATATGCAGTTATATTAAAGCTCATTAGTGCAGCATCCCCCTTTTAATGTTACAGCTCTATGAACAGACAAATCACTCCCATTAAAGCTATTAGGAGTCGTTCAAATCATCTGCTGTCAATTGGTGTTAAAATATGCAGAAAACAAAAATGTGTCTAGACTGAAGTACTAAAAATAGCAAAGGAGGAATAGTGATTTTGGGACAAACGTTTAGCTTTAGTGGTGTTTTTCAGACTGTTGAGAGTATGGACTAGCCTGGCAAGCCAGACTAAATAAATGTATTATTTAGTCTGGCAACGCTCCATTGACGGCTCTCGTTTGTGGGGCGGGTTCTACCGTTGTCTTTCAAATGATCTCCGCATGCTACTGGACAATGAATGTGACATACTCACCGCAACAGCTATCGGTAAATGAGGCGGTCTGCAGTTGAAGAAGGAGAAAACACATCATTTTTTCTAAAATAAAATAAAAAGCACTTAAATACATCTATCTGCTCCTGATTCTAATGAAGCCCAAATTCTAATAGCCCAACATTGATGTAAAAGCCGTTTCAAACAAGCTGTCGCCATCTTGTTTCACTCTGTTGCATCATCCCACCCACCAGGCATATAGAGTGCCCTGATTGGCCCACAAAGCGGATAAAGCTCTGTGATTTGTTCACTAAGCAGATAGAGCACTATGATTGGCCCACCGTTATGGACCAATCACAGCTCTTTATGTGTTTGAAACCCCTTTAGAGAGCTGTGATTGGCCAGCCAGAGTCCTGGTAGGAGCTGCGGAGGTTCCAATGGAGCGTGCCTAGACCAAACTTTGCAAAGCAAGAATTTGGTCTAGTTCACTAGGCTAATTATGGACAGCGGTCAGATATGACTCCTGCAGCAGCTAGAAACATTATTTTCTCTTTATTTGTTTTTTTTTTTATTTGATGTTTGCAGAAAAGAAAAAAGACGTTTTGTTGCCCTGTTGTGGGTCTCTACTGCTTTACTAAACACTCCAGATGTGAATAAATACCTTCCTTCCATTTTCTTTCAGATTTTGTTTATGGTGAATTAAACACTTCGATGAGCTGCTTGAAAATGTCGTGGCAAACTTTGAAAATAAATTAGGTTAGGTTACGCGCTCATGCATTCATCAACAGAACACCGGGGTTCTCCGCTCAATAATACCAGAGAAGGATAAACAGCCAGCTGCTACCACTTCAGCTTTAGTCTCAAAAAGAAAAACACCATTTGAACTCACGCGCAACAAGAAACTTTTCAAAATAAAAAAAAATACGGCGACTAGTGTATAGTGCTGTATCGTTTCCTCCGGCATCGCAGGTTTCAGGTTCCGGCAGAGGCGTCTCAGGGAAAATACTCGAGGGGAAAGGTGGGTGGGCGTTCTCTGACCGTGTTAATGTTCAAAACCTAGCTTGTTCTGTAGATTTGCTATAACAGTTTTAATAAAATAAAGAAAATGATCTTATCTCCCCTGTCGGTGTTCACCCTGGATTTCTACCAGATGTGTAATTGTTGTGTAACGTCTGTAAGGCCCAACATGCGGCTAACAGCCACTGTTATAGTTGATGGGTGTGTTTTCCACAAACACACGTAGCAACACAAGAAAAAAATAAAGGCAGAAAGCATACTACAGACCATGTTTCTTCTTGCTTCTTGTTGTGTGAATTGGTGAAAGCACCTCATAGCAGCCAATCAGTGGGTGAGTGGGTGTGGCCAGCAGCAGCTTGTTTTCTTAAAGTGACAGAGCGCTTAAACGAGTCATTCTGGAAGGTACTGAAAATGTCGGCCGTGGAGCTGTTGAGATGTGAGATTGATTTTGAGCAAAGAACGTCACAAACGTTATTTTCATCAACCATATACCTGTTAGAACTTATTTAAGAAGAAAGATGTCCCACTTAAGGAATGCTTTTTGTGGTAAAACTGCTAATTCAAATTGGACTTTAATTTTAACTGGTCACCTGATTCTCCCAGGTTACACCCTGATGCACCCGTCTCTGACACGGCCCTACCTGATGACAGAGCCTCCCCTGCACACAGATATCATCCACTATGAGAATATCCCAGGATTCCCAGCTGTCCGGCAGAACATCCTCAGGTAACAGCAGGCGGGCAGGAAGGCAAACCTGTTGTCCAACAGGCAGAATTTAGCTAGCGTTTCAAAGATTCAGGGCATATTTAAATGTATTTTTTCTTTCACAGCCTTCCGTTGGGCAGTCAGGTCATCACTGTGCCAGTTAACTCCTCCCTGTCCTGGCACACCAACCGACTCAGGGACAACAGCAAAGAGGCGTACAACGTCAGCTACGCCTGGAAACTGGTGGGTGGATTAGTAGACTGTGTAGCACGCTCTTTACTTAAACCTTCAGTCCATCATCATGCTAGAAACCAGCCAAAGGCCTGTGTGGAAAGCAGCAGCACCCTGCCACCCTGGGTCCTTTGTTTTCTTTTTTCCCGTTCTGACATTTAGATGTTCTGGCAGGAGCAGAATATCGGATTCTGTGACAAATTCACGTTGGCCTCTTTGTAAATGCTTTCGGACATTTTGTTTAACTTTCTCACTAGGGATGGGTACCTTTGACATTTGAATCGTCCCGGTACCTAGGAATCGATACCGGTACTTAACGGTACCAATTTTCGATACTTTTGAGTGTTTATTATTTAAATTCTCTTTTATAATTAAATATATATTTTTCTCAATATATAACAATATTTGATAAATATCACGATAAATAACATACAACTGTTTGTATTTTAACCCTCTGATGCATGAATTATGAAATCTTCAACCAAGAGTTTTTAAACAATTTTTTTCATTCATCTTTAGGTGTGAATGAAACAAATTTCCACAAATATTTTTTGTAACATTTTGTTAATTTACAAATAAATTATTACATGTCCATCTCAGTGGACAGCGTGCATTCTGAACATGAAATGTTGGCTTGACTTACTGAAGTCCAAATGGAGGGCTCAAATGCAATAAAGTCTTCAACAGCTGTGCTTAATAGCAAAAATAAAGAAATAACAATTTTGAGTACCTGTCCACTGTAGTGACCATTATGCACCAAAGGGTTAACATCGTCCTTGTAGTTTTATAAGCTGATAATTAAACAGAAGCAAACATCTTTACTGTGAACTAAATTTACTGTGTATCTTCATTCCTTTTGCCGTCTTTTTTCATTTGATTTTTCCTACTGGGAAGTTAGAATTTCCGAGGAGAAAGCGAACGCACCATTAGCTGATAACAACGGTGGCAATGGAAGCTAATTTATCAAGCTAACGTTATCTTAAACAGTTTATTTAACTGCTGGAGCAGATTAAAACGATGATGCCTCACACTTAGATCGTTGTCGCTGATTTCATCTTCACCCAATCAACCGTCGCATTTAGTAAAGTGAAGCCAAACTTTAGAGCGCGTTCATGTTCTTCTATTCGGAAAATCGGAGTTCCGAGGAGAAAGCGAACGCACCATTAGCGAAACAGAAGCTAACATATCAAGCTAACGTTATCTTAAACATTTTATTTACCTACCGGAGCAGATTAAGATGAGGATGTCTCACTTAGATCGTTGTCGCTGGTTTCATCATCACCCAGTTACCCATCACATTTAGTGAAGTGGATCCAAGCTTTAGCGTGCGTTCTTTCTACCATGCTGCTCCGTTTACAACTCGCTCTCAGCGACCGACGACATAACGCTCTTGCGCATGCGCAGCTGTCTAGGCAAGTTCTCGTTATGAAGGACGGGTACCGAAACGAGGCACCGTTTCAAATGACGTGAATCGGTGCTCGGTCGGTACTATGGAATTCGGTCGGTACCTTAAAAAGTACCAAATTCGGTACCCATCCCTATTTCTCACCGACGCTAAGAGTTTAAGCATGTCAACTTGAGCTTGATTTGAATTAGTTTTCCAGAACCACAAAAGAAAGAGTTGCTCTCTTTTTCTAAGATAATGTGAGACCTGAAGTTACTTTGAAAAACATGTATAGGAGCTGAAAATGAAAAATAACTTGGAGTCAACTCCCTAAAGTCTTGGAAGGCTAATCAGGTCTGGAAGAAAAGAAAAAAGGAGGAAGAGTGGATGTTGAGCTTGAAATGTTGAGGAAAATAGGTTAAATGTTTGGACAAAAAGTCAAATGAGGTTATTTAGATAAATATTCAGATGTTGTTTGAGGAATGAGGCAAAGGATTGAAGTTCTGTTGGTTCAGCCATAAAGGATCCTTAAAAAGTAGTCAAAACATTGCATCTAGCACTCATTATTATTATTGTTATTACTATTATTACTATAGTATTACTAGTATAAACTGTTTTTAAAAGGTAAATCAGTTAAAACCCACCCAGAACCCTCGGTTACAATAATAATAAAATTGGAACAAATTTTTGAAATAACCAACTTTTAATATTTATTTCAATAAAATTTGAACATTTCACCTCATTTTTCCTCAGCGGCCCTCACACGTCACCATGAATGTCAAATTTCTAATACGCTGTGCAGTAACTCCAGGAAATTGATTTAAAAGCAGGAGAGTTTAGGTTGGCTTCACTGGTTTTTCTTGGAAACAAGATTCAAATAAATCTCTTCTCTTTTTTGTGTCTCTTCCAGGTCCAGGACACGTCCTTCATCCTGTGCATCATGTACGTGCAGCCGGAGATCCCGGTGAAGCAGCTGAAGAACCTGAACACGGCTCCGAGCTCCAAGCTGCTCTACCATCGTCTGGATCTGCTGGGTCAGCCCACTTCCTGTCTGCACTTCAAGCAGCTCGCCACCGTTGGTAGGAACATCATCGTATCTCGGCCTGGAAACTTTTATCGCGTCTCTCATTGCCTCCTTGTGCCTTCTCTGTTTCCCAGAGTCCCCCACTGTGATGCTATCAGCTGGTAGCTTCTCCTCCCCCTACGAGCACCTGAGTCAGCCGGAGACCAAGCGGATGGTGGAGCACTACACGGCCTACCTGAGCGACAACACGAGGCTCATTGCCAATCCCGGCCTCAAGGTACTCCAGAAGCCGTTAAACCCACACAAATGCAGATGAGCCGCCTGGAGGTACTTTCAGGGTTTCATCTGTTTACCAAACAAACATACGGTGCCCCCCCCCCCTCCTCACGCTAGCTTCTGCAGGTTTTCATGAATCCCAGCCTCTGCAGCGTGACTTTAAGTCCTATTGTTGGTGAATGCTGATCATCTTACGTCACAGCTGAGCTTTCTGCATCTTTCAGAAGGGGACAAACACCCTCGTGGGTTTTTGGCATTCTGTGTGGATTCCTTACCCAGGAGGGGGGTGTAGAGATTAAACCTCAATCCCAGTCCCTGCTCAGATTCCCAGGCTGGTCTTAAAGACTCCCTCCGGTGACCTCATCACCTCTTTCAGACTCAGCGGCTTCACTCCGGACGATTCTGGGATGTTGTTGTTGTTTTTTCCATGACTAATCGAGCTAGGTTTGCTTCTTCTGATGTCAGCTTTGATTTTAGGATCACACCGAAATGACGTTTTAGAACCAGACACACGACGAGTTTAGGAACTTTTCCTGTGTTTGGTTTCACTCTCCGCTGTCCCTCTTCATCCTCTCATCCCTTCATCCGTTCCCCTCTGCAGTCCTCCGTCAGGAACGAGGTTATGGCGACCAGTCACGTTACGGATGAATGGATGACACTAATGGAACAGAGTAGTCTCAACTGCTACATTGTGCGCCGTTACATAGCAACGCCCAGCGGGGTGCTCCGGATCTACCCGGGATCGCTGATGGACAAAGCCTTCGACCCGACCCGCAGACAATGGTGAGCATGTGCGTGCGTGCGTGCGTGCGTGTGTGTGCGTGCGTGCGTGCTTGCGTGCATGTGTGTGTGTGTGTGTGTGTTAGAGGGGCATAGCAGGTTTCGTTTAGGAGAATTAGTTTAGTTGACTATAAAGCTGCCTGATTCACTAAAAACAGTCTAAAGTTTTCTGTCCCCGTGAGAAAAAGTTCTGTCTTAAGATGAAAAGTGAAGGATTGTATTTAAAGGGACATTATGGAAGTTTGACAGCCAAATTATGTATAGAAATAATAAAGTTCTTCATACATTCTCCTGCAATGCCCTGGTCCTGTAGAATGAGCCCTGGCATTTTTACTGTGATTGCCTGTTTTTCTGTAAAATCACAGAAAAAGAGAGCTGCTCGGGTCGAGCAGGCTGCTTCATGCGCGAACACACTCAGGCATCGCCCGTAGCATTTGCTATCAGTAGCTTTAGCAGCAGAGAGAGAGGTAGTGCCACTTTGTCGATGTTCCTAACGCCTAGTGATGAACCTAGCTACATTTCTGAGGACCCTTAGCTACTTTCTGTAGAACTTTCTTCTAGATATTTCCTGCAAATTAGCAACAAAATAGCCATTTTCGCTTCGAACCGTTCTTTGGTTTGACGTTGTTTCAGCTGTCATCAAGGATATAAATGTTACATATACTGTGAATGTTATTAGAGTGTAGCTCACCTTGTAAGATGTCTGACTCCCATGCAGAAGACCTGGGTTTGATTCTGGGTGTGAACATATTTCATTTAGAGTTTCTTTTTTACATTAATGTTATATTTTTTACAGTAAGATGCCCAAATTTTTATTTGAGACTCGCCGAACGGCATTGAATTCACAGATAAAAAAGATGTGGGTTCAACTTTCATTTTGGAACAAATTTTCAAGCAAGGGAATGGAATGATCTGAGCATGCAGGAGGACTGACCCATCATAAACCTTTGTCGGCTGTGCTGAAGAGAAAGGTACAGAACCAAATTATTTAATTAGCTGCTGGTTCTCCTGTCCTCTGTCCTCCGGGCCACACACACACACACACACACACACACACACACACACAAACGGGACTGTCTCAGCTGTTATTTTTGTTAAGGAGTGTGCACGTACAGCATGCGCGCCTCGTGCACGAGCCTACTATTGAAGCTGCCGTTACGTTTTTGGCCTGAGGGGGCAATCGCGAGCATAAAAATTCAAAACTCCTTAAAGTCTCTTTAAAGTCCTAGCTTTCAATGTGTCAGTTCTAAGGAGGACTCAAGGTGCCTAAATTAGGAGAAAAAATAAAACAATATTTCATGAGTCAGTTAATTAGTGGTCAAAATTTAAATTTTGATTTCTATTATTATTCTAATAGTAATTCTCTGTTTTTAATGATTTTTGAGTATTTTAGGTCTTTTAAAACACTTTTTACATCTTTTACCCAACCGAAGATGCAAGTTTTTAATTTTAATATTCTTTCTTGCATTCCTGCTTCATCACATTTATGATGCTGCTTCAGTCAGCTTCATTTAGCCGCTAAACCAAGCGTGTCTAAAGTGCGGCTCGGGGGCCTTTTGCGGCCCTTGGACTGATTTTGCACGGCCTTCAGTTGCATTTGTAGAATTTCTACAAATTTGACAACTTTTTAAACTTTTTAATTCCAAATCTTTACTGATAAAAATCCCAATTTATCAAAAAATCGCTATAAAGTTTTTACATCTCTTTAGATGTTTGGACACCCCTGTGCTAAAGCCATTAGCAGATAGTCTAGCTTGTGGTTTCCATGCAGTCATCTTCACAGATGTTTTATTGAAATTACCGATTCTAACGGTGAGAAGAAGTGTATTAATAATGTCAAAGGACATCATCCGGGTCTCTCTTCATCACCTTGTTATTTGTGCAGGTACCAGCATGCTGTGGCCAACCCCGGTCTCATCACCTTCACCGGTCCGTACCTGGATGTTGGCGGGGCGGGATACGTCGTCACCATCAGCCACACCATCCACGCCTCCAGGTGAACAGACCACAGGAGGAAGAGTTTAATGACTGACAAGTGTGTGTGAAGCCAGTCTGCACCATCTCTGTAAACAGGAAGTAATCAGAGGACAACTAAGAGACCTTTGACTAATTTCACTTTGTGGCTCTTTAGTGCCTGACATCCTTCTGCTGAACGATCAGTCACAGTTATTTCCAAGTATCAGCTCTCCCAAAGCGCCCTCAGGCTACTAAATAAACTCCTCCAGTAGTGGAGGGAAGAGCCAGACGACAGACTGAGCGTCTGCTGGCCACAGATTGCAAAACGCCGTCTACAAAGAGTCCCGAGATGAGATTAAAATATTTATTTCTTGCTCAGTGAGCCTCGAACTGCACTGCTTACAGCAGCACAATGCAGACTGTTTATCACGGTGTGTGCACACACACTGAGTGAATACAAACATGCAGTGTGTGTGTGTGTGTGTGTGTGTGATAAGTTTGTTGTTGACTTGCTCAGCGAGCATGACAAACAGTCTGAAGTTTGCCCACATTTCAACACAACTCCAGAATTTTTCTTTTGTTTTCTATTCGTTTAAATAAAAGTGACATTTTGCGGCACGGCTGCCTTTTTCAGCAGAAATTCTAAATTCTCTCCACGTTTTTCCACACGTGTGATCCCTTGCAGTTCCCAGATGGCCCCTGGTTATGCGATTGCAGTGATGGGCATCGACTTCACTCTCCGCTACTTCTACAAGGTCCTTCTGGATCTGCTGCCCATCTGTAACCAGGACAAAGGCCATAAGATCAGGTAGGGGGATTCGTGGCTGACTGTTCTTGCATGTAATTCCTTTTATTCCCACGCTTCCGTTTGGAAGTCCTTGGAAGCTTACGTTTATGTTTTAGTGAGCAGGAACTAAGGCTGCTGGGAGATGAGCTGATTATCAGGACATTTCTGCTGGAGAAGGAGATGTTTGATCCTTTTCCCTCTCTCCCTTCCCGTCAGCCTTTGTTCCTCTCCTCCCCTCTCTGTCCACATCCTTCATGCTGTCTTTGTTGGCTTCAGGAGTTTTATAAAAAAACTGTTTTTGAGTTTAGTAGCAGCTGCAGTTGTGTGTGTTTCTTTGGCTACGTTCACACTGCAGGCAAAAGCGCATTAAATCCGCTTATTTTTCCCCACATGCGAGCCATATCTGATTTTTTTTCATACGATCCGTGTCACTTGAATATGTAGCGCCACGCCTACAAGACCCCAAGTTTTATTGGTTTTATTTATTTATTTATTTATTTATTTATTTATTTATTTATTCTTTTTTTGCGCCGTTTCCCGAAGAAGCAGCGGGAATTACTATGTTGTTGCTTGTGATCACAGCCAGCAGGCAGCAAGGAGGAGGAGGCAGGGCAGGGTAGTTACAGCTAGGGATGAGCCGGGTACTCGTTTCAGACGAGTATCCGGTACGGATAAAGTATTTTTGACGAATACGATCGTGAAATGAGTAAAACTCTGAAATATCTGTAATCGTGCTGAAGGAAAATCCTCATTGGGTAACTGACTGTCTTCACGCTCTGTGATTGGCCAGTCACATGGAGCGCCCGCCCCTCCCTACACACAAACCTCTGTAGCCAGGAGCTCAGTCCGGCCCAGGCATCCACGCACACACACACACAGTAACGGGTCTCTCTGTGATTGCGTCACTGTTGCTCACGTTTCTTCAGTACTCCCTAGGTTTTCTTCAGCTCGCCTCTTTTTCGGTTGAATATTTAAAGTTACTTATTTCGTAACGTACGTGGTGCTTTTGACAAGACAGAGCTGAAAACGGCTCGTGCTGCGTTGGTCACTGCCTCTGCTCCGGTCGGGGTTTTTTTAAATCATTTTAACACTCTCTCTCTCTCTCTCTCTCTCTCTCTCTCTCTCTCTCTCTCTCTCTCTCTCTCTCTCTCTCTCTCTCTCTCTCTCTCTCACTCACTCACTCACTCACTCACTCACTCACTCACTCACTCACTCACTCACTCACTCACTCACTCACTCACTCACTCACTCTCACACACACCTTAATCAGCATTGTTTTGTTTAACTGTGTGTGGGGAAAATGCCAGCAACGTTAGGAAAAAAATCAGTTAAATCAAATTAAAATAGAAAAAAATTAAAAAGTTGTGTCTGGTTCTAGTATTTCATATTTCCTAGTTCCTACTGCTTGAGTTCAGATGTGTTACTTCTTGCACTTAAATATTAATGTTCTGATTTTATTGAAAAACTTGTTCGGTAATAGTTTCTTTACTATTGGGATCAAAAATATTTAATCTAAATTCTGAAGCTGCTCTGTAAATAGTTTTCAAATAAACAAAACACATAGCAACTTCTGATCAATCCTTATCAAATTCCTAGGGGAAACACTGTCTCAGGCTCTCATCTGAAATAAGGAGTTTTTTGTTTACATCACAGATGTTTCATAATGGAGGACAGAGGCTACCTGGTTGCCCATCCCACTCTCATTGACCCTAAAGGTCATGCTCCTGCAGAACAGCAGCACATTACACACAAGGTAAGAAAAGATCAGAGACATCATTTAAACAATGATTTTTTATCATCCTTGTGGTGAAGAAATGTCAATTTAAATGGGCGATCAGAGAAAAAAGACTCGTTCCTCCTATTTGTGTTATTTCAAAGCTTTAGAAATTGAAATTAGAGACCGTAGACTTGCTGGACTTGATCTTTTATTATAGAAAATCTGTTTACTGGTCGCAAAACCAATGTTTCTTGTGAAATACGACATTATTACACTTGTAGAAGCTGCAGTTTTCATTCTAAACGTTGAATGATTAACGACTTGTCCAGTAGTTTCTTCATGTTTACATTTAAATGAGCATTTTTGCTTACAGCAAACCAATCAAAAGAAGATTCTTCTGCAAGATTTGTAAAAATCATTTATTTGCTCCTTTTAATCAGCCTAAGGTTTGTGTTTGATGTTAGGAGCCGCTGGTGGCCAACGACATCCTGAATCATCCCAACTTTGTCAAGAAAAACCTCTGCAACAGCTTCAGTGACCGCACGGTGCAGCGCTTCTACAAGTTCAACACCAGTATAACGGTACAGCACAGGGCCTCTCAGCCATTCACACAGTCTTGTGGTACAACACTGCCATCTTGTGGTGACACATGATGCTGCTACTTTTAATATTCATTTCATTTCGAGTGTTTCTGGTTAAATAATTAAAAAATATATCAGAAGACTCTTCTAGATCAGATATGACTGACGTCTGTAAATCTTCCTCGCTCAGGGTGACCTCACCAACCTCGTCCACGGCAGCCATTGTTCCAGGTACCGCCTGACCAGAATCCCCGGCACCAACGCGTTCGCCGGCATAGTCAACGAGACGTGCGACTCTCTGGCGTTCTGCGCCTGCAGCACGGTGGACCGCCTCTGTCTCAACTGCCACAGGTCGTCAGTGAAGCAGCTCGTAATGAAGCAAATCACCTGACGTGTTGATGTCGTCTAACTGTTGTGCTTATTTTTCTTGTTCAGGATGGAGCAGAATGAGTGCGAGTGTCCATGTGAGTGTCCTCTGGAGGTCAACGAGTGCACGGGCAACCTCACCAACGCTGAGAACAGGTGAGCATTACAAATGTACTACCCGAGCAGCACACTGGCTCCAGTCTGCAGCAGCTTTTACCCGAACGGCGACAAAAAGGAAGACCGTTTAAGCAGGTGAGAGGTATTAGATCTGCAGAAGAAAGGCCTATGCACTGACCACCTGGACATGTGAGGAGGGTCAGGGAGAGTCCGGTGAAGGCAGAGATGCTCTGGCAGAGACGCTGTAGAAGAGACCTTGGAAAAGATATAGCAGCCCCATCAGGGACGCCCTGGAAGCAGAGATGACTCAGAAGAGACGCTCTAGCAGAAAAACCACAAGAGAGACGCTCCAGCAGAGAGCGCAATAACCTAACAGGACAACGAGTTCTGCTCCCCTTCCAAAAAAACGTTTTTATATCATCTTTGAGTCAGAAATGATCAATAATTTAATTATTTTTCACTCTTGGATACTTATTTGTTAGTTCTGCGGACATCAATCACGCACTGTTTAAAATATGACAATTTATTTGATCCCTTTTCTTAGTAAGAGATCTTGAACATTCACACATGCAGCCTGCATGGCCTCTCAGCTTCCCGTCACCATGGTTACGCACGCTGCCTGTCAGACGGAAGCTCTCCGCTGCTGCTTTCTATGTTCCTCTATGGGTGTTTCCTCACTTTTCTCTCACAGCTTTCCTCCCTCCCTCCTCCCCCCGCATCTGTATGTCATCCCTGTCTTGCTTCGCCCACCTCCTTTCATCAGCCATCAGCTGCCTTTGACAGCTCATCAATGTTTCAGATCCTTCTTTTATCTCTGGAAGACTCATAATTATTGTCTGTCTTTGTCAGAATTATCTTTTTTTCCCTTGTCAGTCAGCTGCTGAGCTGTCGCTGGCATTTAATCTGAAGGCATTCTTTTAATGCTGTTTTGGTGGTTTTTCATTTCGTTTTTAGCTTTCCTGTGTTTGTTTAATCGTTTTTTGGGTTTAAATGAATATTTCATATATAATGTGTTGTTGCGTGCCAGCATTCTTGAAAGTTTTGACTTTTTTTTTTTTTTCGGTCGTACAGGAACCCCAGCTGCGAGGTGCATCAAGAGCCAGTCAGTCTGAATGTGATCGATCCCAGTCTGCTCGACACGTTGCCCCAGTGCATCAACACCCGCTGCAGTCAGAGATACACCAGCAGGTACAAGGCGGACTGCATGCTCACCGACTTATTGAACAAACACAGGTTTTCTCTCTTGTAGTGAGAAACATCAACAGCACACTGCCCCCTAGTGGTAATCTGAAGGAAAACTGCATCATTGTCTTTAATTCTAGTGAAATGTACGTTTGATCTGTATAAGGTGCCTCCGACACCTCGTGTGGCACAAAGATGCACTCCACATTAAAACGGACCATAATGCATTTCAACATGAGCTGCTCAGAGCAATGTGAACCTTCAGACTCTAGAACTTCCTGTAATAAAAAGTGGCTCAATTCCTGCTCTGACGGAGCTTTTGGACTTTAGAAGTGATTCATTGGGAAAACAGAAACATTCATTCCTACTAGAGATTACTGCAAATGTATTGATTAAACAACTGTCCCACACTTTAAAGGAGACATATTATGGAAAACCCCTCCTTCTGCATCTTTCTGTGCTGCTATGTGGGTCTCTTGGTTCCATCAACACTCTAAACATTCTGTTTAGTTCAGATAGTATATGCCTGTATAAGCAGGGTATCCGCGGGTCCTTAAAAAGTCTTAAAAAGTCTTAAATTAGCTTTTCCAAATTTAAGGCCTTAAAAATCCTTAAAAATGACAAATAATCCTTAAATAGTTTCCAAAGGTCTTAAATTACCAAAGACCCAATAAACAAGATTCTTTTATTTCTATAAAATTTTCATGAATTTCTAGTTAGTTTGGCATTTTTTGTGTATGATATTGACATAAGCGGAACCGTACACATTCGGTTGGTTGTGAAAGGGGGCTATTTTTAGATCAGCATGCTAGTGGGAGTTTGCGCCATGGGGAAGTGCAACATTAAAGGTAACTGGATGGCTAATCCCACGTTCGTGACGTGGTTAGCACCGGTTCCAGGCAATAGCTGGAAATTATAGCTTAAATTTAATTTTTAAAAATAGCTTAAATTTGGTGAAAGTGACCCTAAAAAAGGTCTTAAAAAGTCTTAAATCTGGCTCCCTTAAACCTGCAGATACCCTGATAAGTCACAACCCTCAGATAGGAACTGTGAAAAATGTACATTTTAGCCACAGTTCCAATTATTTATTTACTAGTACTTCAGTTTGACAGAAATACATTTAAAATATATAAAATGTACCATTCTTCAGTTTTGCTCTAATCCCAGCGTTCTGCTCCGTGTTTCAGTGACTGTTTCGGTGTGTTGGACTGTGAGTGGTGCATGGTGGACAGCGATGGTAAGACTCGCCTGGACAAGCCGTACTGTGCCCTGCAGAAGGAGTGCTTCGGAGGCATCGTTGGTGCCAAGAGTCCGTACGCAGACGGTTTGGGAATTCTGGGTGAGAGACGGAGAGAATTCTCTAAACAAATTCCTTTTTCTGGCAACTTACATCCATCAAATTTAAGTCGGAAAAGGGTAGAACGCCTTCTCCGGGTCAGGGATGAGGTCCTGCTCTGAGTGGAGGAGTTTATGTATCTCGGGGTCTTGTTCACGAGTGAGGGAAGACTGGAGCGTGAGATCGATAGGCGGATTGGTGCTGCGTCTGCAGTGATGCGGGCGTTGTACCGGTCTGTCGCGGTGAAGAGAGAGCTGAGTCAGAAGGTGAAGCTCTTGATCAGGGGTGTCAAACATGCGGCCTGCAAGCGGGTTTAATCCGGCCCACGAGATGGTTGTGTAAACTTTATTTTCATACTTTACAATGTAGAGTGAAAATAAACGTATCTTTGTGAGCAAGTTTTCTCTGTAACGAGTATAAATAAAACAAAGCTGCGCTCAAGGCTCACACAAGAACTTGAATCACATCCTGAAGTTGGCCACCACTCAGGATGTGACTTCTGATGTTGATGTGCTGGTGAAAGCTAAAAGATGTAAAGTAAAACGAGTCAAATACACTTTAAGTGCTGCATGGAACTGATCTAGCCATGTGATCTGTAAGCTCTTTGAATCGCTAAGGAATGTTTTTTTTATTGATTGATTTTTAATGTTTTTCAAATGTTCAAGTACACTTCAGGTGTTGTACTTGTACTATTTTGGATACACTGTCCTCAGGCTCCAGCCTTGTTTTATATTGATTGTATTAAAACAAAGAAAACAATCTGAAGTTGTTTTTAATTTACCGGTTCAGCCCACTTGGGACTAGATTTCCCTCAATGTGGCCCCTGAGCTAAAACGAGTTTGACACCCCTGCTCTTGATTTACCGGTCGATCTACGCTCCTACCCTCACCTATTGGTAGCGACCGAAAGAACAAGATTGTGGACACAAGCATCAGGGTGGCTGGGCTCCTCCTAAAGCCGGGCGGACACTGTGCGACTTTTTCACTCGTAGCACTCAGCTTCAGCTCAAACTGTACGACTTCCTCGCAGGGCAGATCTCACGAGTCATGTGTTCACACTGCACGTCTGATAGCAACACATCGGACCTAAAAATATGCTAAAAATAGCAGTTTTTACTCAACACATCAGACTTTTTTGTCTTGTTTTGCCTGTTGTCCTTCGGGAGTGCTGCAGGAGGACACACGGGGATTTATTGGGGTTGGATGAGGAAAACGAAATAAAGAAAGTAAATCTGTGTTTTGTGATCAGTTTAATTTGACATGAACAAGACAAACACGCTTTCTTGACAATCTTTGTGAGTAAAAAAAACATGTAGAAATAAAAACGAACAACGTGTGTTATTAGGGAAATAGCGGGCGAGCGGTGTTGATGCATGATTGCGCATGCGCCGTGAGCGGTTCTGATACTTTTTGGGTCGCAGCTGCTCGTAGCGCTGCTTCAGCAGTGCGATACCCTCACGAGGGACGAGCAAAATATCAAACACGCCAGAAGTCCGTGCGAGCTCACGATTGCTGATCGGTAGCTGGTCACGTGGTGTTAATCGCCTCTCGTAACCCCCTGTACACTACACCACGCTCGGCGCAAAACTCGCCCCGATCTCGTGGATTCTCGCACGAGTGGAAAATCGGCTCAAAAAAGTGAAAAAGTCGCACAGTGTACGCCCGGCTTTAGAGATAGGGTGAGATGCTCGGTCATCCGGGAGGGGCTCGGAGTAGACCCGCTGCTCCTCCACATCGAGAAGAGCCAGTTGAGGTGGCTCGGGCATCTATTAGGATGCCTTCTGGACGCCTCCTTGGTGAGGTTTTCTGGGCACGTCCAACCGGGAAAAGACCTAAAGGGAAATACGGGACTTGCTGGAGGGACGATGTCTCTCACCTGGCTACAGAACGCCTTGGGATTCCCCCGGAAGAGCTGGCCCAAGTGGCTGGGGAGAGAGTAGTTTGGGCTTTGGACTTAGGCTGTTGCCCCCGCGACCCGACTCCGGATACGCGGAAGAAAATGGATGGATGGATGATGTCTACCAAACTTCAGCACATTTGTTACATTAACACAATCACGGGCAGCAGGAAGAAAACACACAAAGGCAACAACTAAACTGGACAGGAAGTGAATATTTCTGATCAATAATAGATTCTCCTAAACTTTTCTGTTGCTCTGATGTTTTCTCATCAGCTCTTTCACAGGAAACCTTGGCCGTCTGTCTGAGGTTGAATCTTTTTTCAGCAGAATCTCACAGTAATGAGAACAGAAGTAAAGTTTAAAAATGTACCGGCGTCACAGCAGGAGTTCGGATCTGAGCCCGAGCTGTTGGATCCTTCACCATAAATAAATAAATAAATAAATAAATAAAATCCTCGGTGGATTTTAGCTTTCCTCATGTCCTTTCTTCTTATTGCTCACTTCCGCAGATGAGGAGGTGGCGCCTTTGAACATGATCAAGAGCGCCCCTGTGGGTCCGGTCGCTGGGGGCATCATGGGATGCATCATGGTGCTGGTGCTGGCCGTGTACGCGTACCGACACCAGATCCACAGACGCTCACACCAGCACATGTCGCCGCTGGCTGCACAGGGTAGGACACGTCTGGTTTCATTAAAAATGGGCTGCTTCATAAGCTGGTCTGTTATTACAACAAGCTTCAAATATTCATGCATCACATCAAATCTGTAATATTTGGACAGTGAATGAAATGAAAATGACTTTCAGGAGATAAAAGGTGACCTTAACTCTGAGATCATTACTGCTGCTTTATTTTTACTGTTGTGTTAATGCACGTCTGGAAGCTTCAGAGCAGCAAAGCCGTCAAAACCGCAGTTTTCCTCGAAGATGATCAGTGAATCAGCCACATTTATTAAGCATCAAGAATCATTCTTCACACAGCTTCTCCTTTTTATCTTAGTTCTTGTTGAATGAAGGACAAGAGGCTATTTGTCTTGTTTTGGTGCACTTATCGACTTCTAAGATATGAAAAAAGAGCAGATGATTAAAAATAATGAAGTTCTGCTGCTGATTTGTGAAACAGCTCCGATTCATGATCCTAAAACAAGAAAATTCCACTTTAAGTTTCAGCTTTTGACTTCATTTTTTAGTTGATAGAAATTTCATTTTTTTTTCTGCAGACAACAAACATTTTTCTGTTGTGTAATTGCTATTTAAAGTCACTTTTTTCACGAGGATTCCCGTTCACTGACAAAATAATAGATCTTGTACAGAGTTAGATGTTTGTGTCTGTTTTAAATGCATCTTTATTATTTCTTTTTCCATCCTGTTTTGTTGCTGTGATGCTGCAGAAATGTCCGTAAGGATGTCCAACCTGGACAACGAGCGAGACGAGAGGGACGAAGACAGCCATGAGGACAGAGGAATCAGTAAGTTCACTCAGTCTCACTAATTTCACAAATAAACACACGATATTTGGACACCAGAACCAGAACCGGTCTCCGAGTTGAACTGTGCTTTCTCCTGATCTTTCAGTCAGTAACACCCGGTTTATCGCCGCGGTGATCGAGAGACACACTCACACCCCTGAGCGGAGACAGAGATACTGGGGCCGATCCGGGACAGAGAGTGACCACGGTAAGAAAGAGGAAGTGGCTGATTCAAATTTTTTCATTTTGTCCACTCACTTCCTGTTTGGACATCCAGGCTCCCGTTGCCGCTCTTTTACAATTTAACAGTCTTTCTGTGTTTTTTTTAAATGAGTTGGCAGAAAAACTGAGGGACTGTAGGGACTGGTGGTGGACCAGCATCCACTGGGATGGGCCTATGGTTTTTTACCAGAGCAGGAGAAGCAGCAGCAGCAAACTAAACAAAATTACTGTTTGCCAAACCGGATCAATAAACCATCAACCATGCAACACTCAAGACCTTTACCCCCAAATTCCACTACCTCCGCTCCGCTGCGCTCCGCTCCGACACGAACGCCGGAGCAAAATCGGTCCCGTTCTAGTCAATCAGAGCAATTCCACTACTGCGGCCGTGCTCCGGCAGTGCGGCGCCGTGCGGCGCCCTCTGTTCCGGCGTCCGGCAAAAATAGAATCGATCCTATTTTTGCCGGACGCCGGAGCACCTCCGCAGTAAATGGACAGAAATCACAACGGCCCAACAGGAAAAGGAGCAAGCACATCTTCCGTTTTTCACAATAAATCGCTAAACAAAAGGCGTTTTTTGTTTCATATGCACAGGTTTAACAACTTTTAACAACTATCAATGGCGGCTGAAGTTTAAATGCACAAAAATAAGCCATAAATACAGTTGCCACTATCAAAGTAGTCACACTTTGTTGATCCAAACACTGCTGATCTCTCAACACAATGATGGGCAGATTAAACAGCTCATTTTGATGCTTCTCCCACACAACGGGTGTTTGGATCTAACTTCCGCGTTTATTGCTCGGACTGTATCGCAAGATCTCAAAAATCCCGCGCATGCTTGTTTGCCCCCCTCAGGTCTCCACACCGGAGCGGAGCCGTTGTAGAGCGGGTACCAGTAAAAATTGAGTTCGGAAGCGAGCGGCTGCGGAAGGCGGGGGCGGACCGGAGCGGAGGTAGTGGAATTTGGGGGTTAGACATCTGTAGACTGTGTAATAAAAACAGGTTCAGTAGTGGCTGGAGGGTTTTTAAAGTAGCTGTCTGTATTTTTTCTATTGTCTAGTGGCACCATCTAGTGGCTGACAAGCGTATCACACCAAGACCTACTTTTCATTTCTGTTTTTACGCCTGTCGTTCATGAACACACTCCCCTGAACACGCTCCCCTAGCCAACAAAGCAGCAAAAATATTGTTTCTCACCATGTTGTGTTTTCATATATTTTAAAGACTTACTTGTCCACGAGAAAGGTCGTCGACTCCAGTATGTCCTTAAAAGCTCGAGCACGCTCTGTGATTGACGTCTGTATGTAAGCGATAGCCTAGCGCTGTTGGTTAGTGCTGGCCGGTGCTCAGTTCATATTGCATTGAGCTCTATGGGACGAAAGCAGGCATAGCAAATAAAATATATGTATTTCCAACATTATATCACAGTACATGATTAGGTTATAACTTTTATGGATTTCTGAAAAATCCTACATAATTCCTGAAAGGGGAAAACTCTGGACAAACAAGGAAACCCCACAGCGCTATGTCAGTTTTACTGCAACAAAAGTTTTATTTTAGGAGTCATTAAAGCTGCACCTGTTTTGTTCCCCCGCTGCTATACCGACCATGAGCCGTGACGTTAAAACCGAGGTACGTACCTAACTGGGAATTTAGGCGCGCGGTCACACCCCTGATCTTCCAGCTCTTGGAGGGTGCAGACGCTTTTTTCCTCCTCTCCTCTTATCCTCAAGGCCCTTTGTCTGTCTGTGTGTGCTGGGTGCACGGCTGCTTCTGCATTTTTCTGGAAACTGGAAACTGAAATTCGCTAAAATGGATCTCGTCAGCTGGTCGCTCAATGCGGTTGATAACATTTTTTCTACAATGAGAACGGGAGAAGGGGCTCCCGGATGCCCCTCTGGGACAGACCCAGTTGGACGCATCATGGACTCCTGGAAACAGTGGAACTTGATTTGTTTATCTCAGCTGTCCGTGGAGGACTCTGAAGATGTGTGGATATTCGTGGTGTTGGTGTCGGGTTTCCTACTGATCGGCATTGGAGGCTACCTGGCTTACCGGAAAATTAACGAGCTGTCGAGGAATTGGCCTGATCCCGGAGCTCAGAGATGGTTTGCACTTCGCTGTGAATTCACAGACTCACATAATTGTCGACATGAATCGTAAGCTTGGGACTTTGGGGGAGATTCATTGTTTGGCACAGAAGATGGATGCCATCAAGGAGAGAGTGGACGAATCTGCACGGATTAACGTCCATTATTGGGATTTTGAGAGGTTGAGGACCAACAAACTGTAAGACAGAGAGGAAATTATCTCTGTCTGGCCCCAAAACAATTTCTAATCGGAATCTGGCGCCCTTGAGCCTGCAAGGCTACAACGAAAACTCCCCCCTCAGAAGATATGTGGAATGTGCCGTCACTATGGCAATGCAATGTCTCCTTTCCCAGCCTGGGCGGGACTGCGGGAAGGCCGCTGAAACGTTCCAGGGTCACTGCAACCCTCCAACCCTCAATGCTTCCCCCCCTATCCACACTGAGGTGACATGCGCTGCTTCTATCGTGGCTGCAGGAACTGAAGTGGGGATAGTCCCAACCCACCACCCCACCTAGTGGACACTTATATTGTGTTGTCTAAAGTCTGTTGCATATATGTCTGAGGTGTTTTTGTGCAGAGCAAAGCTGCCCTCCTGGTGGAGGGTAACTCTGAAGTGCCTTTTTTTTCCCTCCACCTGAACCAATCCTCATGTAACCCTCTTATCTCTATTAAGGTAGCACGACTCAGGGTTGCGAATAACCACAGTCACCAGTTCTTGTCATGTGTCTTGCCCATGTATGTCTGATCTCTGAATTGTGTGTACTGAAACTCTAATTTCCCTCTGGGATTAATAAAGTATCTTTGATTTTGATTTTTGATTCGATCTCAGGCGTTGTGGACCCAAGATTTTTAGGACTGCTCTGTCTGGCCAGACCCAGTGCAGATGAGACTGACGGACTTTTGTGGGTGTTTGAGCATCACAGTGACTTTTATTTTGGTGTTCACTCACCTTTCCTCCCAGTTCATGGCTCTGGTTTTTCTTTAATCTGAACCTTTTTGTCCGCTCATCCCCAGCTCAGAATAAGTTGCTCATGCTCACTTTTTAAGCCCCCTCCCTCCCTGAGTCTGACACTTGCTATGGATGGACATTTTCACCCACGCCAGCTCTCTGCTGCCCACACGCATGGCATCATTCCACTTCCTGGCAATGAGGATCTGTGTTACTTGTTGCATAAGCAATGTTTCACAGAGAGAACAAGGGCGAGTGTGAGGAGAAGAGTGGGCTCAAATGAAACAAAAACAGAAGTGTGAGCTTGTTGGCTGAATGTTAACAGTACAGATGGGGAGATGGAACAGATGAGTTATCAGTTTCTAGTTGGACTCTGTGTACTTCACATCTCCTGCCCGTGTTTATAGAAGTGTTTATTTATGAAATATTTGATACGTAGGTGTGAATGAATTTGTTTTCAGGAATTAGAGTCGTCTTGTTTGGAGCTTTTAATATTTTAGAAGTCATAATTAGAGGGTCGCCCTCCTTCTGAGGGAAAAACACGGGAATCTGTTTCCTTGTTTTGCTTTACCATTTAAAATGAGGCGAATATTATTTTCTCACCTGCTGCAGATTTAACTGAAACTTTGGGATTTTTGAGAACAGCAATTATCCAGAAATGAAAACTTCTTCTTTCATTCTCCTCCTCAGTACATGGATATGCTCATTTTTTGTTTTAAAATGTGCATTACTTGTCCAAAATATATAAAACAGGAGTGGACTAAAAACAGAGCCTTGGTGTGTGCCACACAGCCCCGCACATACCCCATAAGCTTTAAGTTACAGCAATGCAGACTGAAAAGATTCCCCTTAAAGGGTCAAACAGCGTTTTTATTTAATAACTTTCTAAAACAATAATGTGTGATTTTGTGTGTTTAGGCTACAGCACCATGAGTCCACAGGAGGACAGTGAGAACCCACCAGGAAACAACGACCCGCTCTCTGCAGGCGTCGATGTGGGTAACCACGACGACGACTTGGACCTGGACACCCCCCCTCAGACAGCTGCATTGCTAAGCCACAAGTTCCACCCTTACAGACACACGCACACACACCACCACCCGCTGCACACGCACACACACCACCTGCAGGCTGCGGTGACCGTGCACAGCGTAGACGCGGAGTGTTGATCCTGCAGAGATTACACTCTTTATTACAAAAATGACACTGTGCCCGATTAGAAGGCATACTCTGCATACTTTCAGGTTAGATGGATGGATGACAGGAAGAAGACCCACAGCTGGATGGAGCACCTCGTAGCTGCTAGGATCTTCTGATTGAAGTCACCGGCAACCATAGTGGCAACATATCTGCCTCTCTTATTCCATCCAGCAATAAGAAACTTCGGCCAGTACATAAAAGCAAGTGGGATTATTTTTGTCCTCTGAAGGAATCAGGACTCACAGCTACAAGCAGAACTTTTAGGAGCAACAAATGCCAGTTTGAGCCTGATGAGATACGACTGAGGACAGGGTACAGCTGGAGGTTTTAAAGAGAAGCAAAAATCAATATTTTTCAGTATTGGACAGAACAATGATGGGTTTCTCTGGACTGCCGTCTCCTGAAAAGACAGTTGTCCTGCAAAGGCCTCTTGCAGGAGCACTCGCTGCATTTTGGAAAACTGGAGTGTCTGTGGAAGAATTTCTAGTTGTGCTTTTTCCTAAACACCAGGAGGTTAATCCAACGTAGCGTCTGAACTTTTTACCCTCCTTGAGGCAGAAAAAAAAGACCGGAGCTGCGTTTGCCTGAACGTTGCAGCCTTTCCTCTGAAGGAGAGGCTTCTGGATTCACCAACAAACACTGACGTTTCCATGAGTGTCTGTTAACTCCAATGTAGGACAAAGCTTCAGCGATAAACACTAAGAGGACAATATTATTTTTTCTAATATTTATTAAAGAGGTTTCAAGAACATTGAAATAATATTAGTGATAAAAACAAGGACATGAAGTAGTTTTGTAACTGGCTCATTATTTTCAGTCTTTAAAGTTCCTCATTCGGAATGTAAAATTAATCAACAGCATAATTTTTAGTTGGAATGAAGGTTTATGACTACAGTTTGTATAAAATTGAATGTTTTACTACTTTAAACCTATTTTAAGAGTCAAGGCTTTAAACACTCCCAATTTTGGTTTTCAATCAAAAACACCTTTTGGGCCAATTCGAAATCATGTTTTAAACTTAAAAAGTACATTTTTGTTAAATGTTCATTTAAAAAGAAAAGAGTGAGCCATATCCACCTTAGTGTCAGAGCATTTGGGAGAAAGTGGTTTGTGTCACGTAGCACATAATTCTGTTTTCTGAAGTTCTTCTGAGATGATGCTTGCTGATCTGGTTCTAATATATCTAAGCATGTGGAGACTGAACCTTGGTGCTGGAGAAGGCCATTCGACCTCCTGGGGGCAGATCAAAGCTAAGCAAAGCAGAAAATAAAATATTAAAATCTATTAAAAAAACATTCCTGGTTGTAGAGACTGCTGGGGATCCTGAAAGCTGTCCTGAATAAGGAGCCTGACTCTCCTCCCTTTCCGGTCGGTTCACTCGTCCCCGTCAGAATGAAAATGGGAATGCGAGTCAACGAGGCTAAAAACGCTATTTTCTAATTCGCTTAGCCTTACGCCCTGGCTCGCACATGTGTTGTACTGCAATTTAAATGAAAAGTAATGATGGGTGCTTCGACCACACAAGTCACGTACTTTGAGATTTCACCTATACGACGTTCCGCCACATAATCTCCTCTCCCCTAGCGTGGCTGCTACTCACCACATGACCAGATTTATGGTGGTTCTTTCCTCCTATGGGAAGTTTGCTGAACTTACAGCCCTTTTCCCTCAGTTTTCTCCGTGTCTGGTTCGATGACATTCATTTATTCGATGACTTTTGTAAAGTGCAGTTGTAGTTCCTGGACTTATTTTCACACAAAACCTAAAATAGCGCTTTCCCCCGTTTGAAAATAAGCACGTTCTTGGTATCAAAATGCATCTTTAAAATCCACGGACATCATATGTTTAATCCGTGGCACAAAACAAGTGGAATTAGAAAACGTCAGTTTTAGCCCCATTGACTTCCATTCATTTTTTTCATTCTTCCGGGGACCTGTGGTCCAGAAGTAGATGGGCGTGACTTAGGCTCCCTATAGAAAAAAGCGGGTGATTTTCTACAACCTTTTGCCTCTGAGGCCAAGCTGATGCTGCACGTTTTTTATGTTTGAGTTCTGAACGGTTTTCAGCGACGTCCATGATGCTGTTTCCTCGAGTGAATGAGATGCTGCTGCTGTGCAGAGGTTACGATCATCTGTCCGTTCCTCTGTGGGAACCACTCAAAATGGGATTTTGTGTGTGTGTGCGTGTGTGTGTGTGTGTGTGATGAAAGCATGATTATCCACCTGGAACATTTTCACTGAACACATTATTTTGACAACATAGTATTACACAGGTTTGGATGAACATATAAAATGTTGAGGAGTTCTCAACCGGATCTGATCTTTGTGAGGTTTGATGGTTTGTCTGGTCAGATCCCGTCGGTGTGACATTTGCTTTTACTCCAGAGTGTTTTCACGTGTTCATTTTGACAGTGTAAATACGGAGTCACGGCTCGTTATTAGTGTCCTGGACACTCATTTAAAAAACAACACAGAACTGGTAAGATACGATGTAAGCTTCATAGTGTCTCAATATATTTTTGATGCCTTGGATGTTTTCTTTAGGCTTATTTTTCTTTAGGTCCACATTGGATGGAAGTCTGTACTTTTATTATACATGTTTACGTTTAAGAGAATTATAGTTTTTAAAGGTTTAATGTGCGTTTGTGGAAATTCTATAAAAACCCGCCAGATTTTAGATTTTGTGATGCAACAGCTTTTCAGTGAGTTCTGACCAAAACAAAAGCCTCACAGTGGCTTTGGGGTTACTGTAAGCAGCACTATGATTGTTTGGCAACGATAGTCATTCATGCCCATTTTAGTGACTTCATTAAAAGTTTATTTTCAAATGTTGTAAATCATCAAGTCTTTGTTTATTCCCAGCTCTTTGTGGTCCTTAAACTCCTGAATGCTTGTGTTTTGTGTCTTTCTTGTGTCTTGATTGGTTTTAGGTTCATGTAGAAGATGTTTAATGAAGAAGTGTTTTTTCCTCTGAATTGAGTCCATCATTTTTTGTTCCTGGAAAGCCTTTAAACAGTATTTACCAGCTGTTGTGTGGACAAGTCTATATGTATGTATACAGAACCTGAAGGAACATGTGTACGTCACCCTCGCCCCAAATGTATCATATATAAAGTTATCAGACTGACTTTTATTGCCATGTGAATGTGATAAAGTACATTTTACACTTAAACATGCTGTTTATGATTCTTATTAAAAAATCTGGGTTCCTTTTTTTCCCCTCAAACAGAATCACAGTAGATCTGGAAACAACGTGTCCTGATACTGATCTGAGTTACTGAAATATTTAGCGATACTGAGGATGCACAGATATGAAAATGTCGGCCGATATCGATATCCAATATTGTTATTGCTGTTATGGCCGATAACTGATATATTAATATAACAATTATATATACAAATCTAATAAAATATTTTATGTATACACACAAAGACACAAATTTACGCTTCTGAGATGATTACTATCACAGTCATGTGACCAAACCATTACGGAAACCCCCTGAAACAGATACACAAATGGCAACTTGATGGAAATAAATGATATATATATATCTATATATATATATATATATATATATATATATATATGTATATATATATACATACATACATACAGTGGGGCAAAAAAGTATTTAGTCAGCCACCGATTGTGCAAGTTCTCCCACTTAAAATGATGACAGAGGTCAGTAATTTACATCATAGGTACACTTCAACTGTGAGAGACAGAATGTGAAAAAAAATCCATGAATTCACATGGCAGGATTTTTAAAGAATTTATTTGTAAATCAGGGTGGAAAATAAGTATTTGGTCTCTTCAAACAAGGAAAATCTCTGGCTCTCACAGACCTGTAACGTCTTCTTTAAGAAGCTTTTCTGTCCACTCGTTACCTGTATTAATAGCACCTGTTTGAACTCATTATCTGTATAAAAGACACCTGTCCACAGCCTCAAACAGTCAGACTCCAAACTCCACTATGGCCAAGACCAAAGAGCTTTCGAAGGACACCAGGAAAAGAATTGTAGACCTGCACCAGATGGGGAAGAGTGAATCTACAATAGGCAAGCAGCTTGGTGTGAAAAAATCAACTGTGGGAGCAATTATCAGAAAATGGAAGACATACAAGACCACTGATAATCTCCCTCGATCTGGGGCTCCACGCAAGATCTCATCCCGTGGGGTCAAAATGATCATGAGAACGGTGAGCAAGAATCCCAGAACCACACGGGGGACCTGGTGAATGACCTGCAGAGAGCTGGGACCACAGTAACAAAGGTCACCATCAGTAACACACTACAACAGCAGGAAATCAAATCCTGCAGTGCCAGACGTGTTCCGCTGCTGAAGCCAGTGCATGTCCAGGCCCGTCTGAAGTTTGCCAGAGAGCACATGGATGATACAGCAGAGGATTGGGAGAATGTCATGTGGTCAGATGAAACCAAAGTAGAACTTTTTGGTATAAACTCAACTCGTCGTGTTTGGAGGAAGAAGAATACTGAGTTGCATCCCAAGAACACCATACCTACTGTGAAGCATGGGGGTAGGAACATCATGCTTTGGGGCTGTTTTTCTGCTAAGGGGACAGGATGACTGATCCGTGTTAAGGAAAGAATGAATGGGCCCATGTATCGTGAGATTCTGAGCCAAAACCTCCTTCCATCAGTGAGAGCTTTGAAGATGGAACGTGGCTGGGTCTTCCAACACGACAATGATCCCAAACACACCGCCCGGGCAACAAAGGAGTGGCTCCGTAAGAAGCATTTGAAAGTCCTGGAGTGGCCTAGCCAGTCTCCAGACCTCAACCCCATAGAAAATCTGTGGAGGGAGTTGAAAGTCCGTGTTGCTCGGCGACAGCCCCAAAACATCACTGCTCTCGAGAAGATCTGCATGGAGGAATGGGCCAAAATACCAGCTACTGTGTGTGCAAACCAGGTAAAGACCTATAGTAATCGTTTGACCTCTGTTATTGCCAACAAAGGTTATGTTACAAAGTACTGAGTTGAATTTTTGTTATTGACCAAATACTTATTTTCCACCCTGATTTACAAATACATTCTTTAAAAATCCTGCCATGTGAATTCATGGATTTTTTTTCACATTCTGTCTCTCACAGTTGAAGTGTACCTATGATGGAAATTACTGACCTCTGTCATCATTTTAAGTGGGAGAACTTGCGCAATCGGTGGCTGACTAAATACTTTTATGCAGATGTAAACAAAAATGTAGTTCTTGTAGTTAAACCATCCTTAAGATTAACCAATAAGTAGCAGAGGAGATCATTTAGGCTTTTGTTTTGAACAAAAGAAATCCCTCTTTTGTGGTCTTATCTAAGGCGTACACTTAAGGGCAGTCAGTGTGTTCTGCAATATGTTTCAAGCTGCTGGCCATGGGTCAAGCTGGGAGGGGAGGAATTATAGCAGGACTGCCTGGAAGACCCTATCAGTTATTTATGAAGCATTTCTGTACATGTGGTGTTTCCTGCCAGGGGATCAGAGAAACTACCACAGATGGAAACGCAACATGGCTCAGATGGAACATAAGACGTTGCTTTGATTTGCCAGGACGGAGCAGCTTACGGGCTTCTGCTCACTCCAGTGGGTTTTATCTCACTTTAAGAAGGACCACCTTACTCTTTCACATGTTCTCTAAAAACATTAAACATTTCATTTTAACTGAACAAACTACAGAACGTATAGGATGTTTTTTCTGTCATTATTAGTTAAAGCTATAATAGCAAACCTGCAACTCAAGCTAGCCTAAAACCTTTTATCCATGCCTCTTAATATGGAGATAAAAAATGAAAAAAAAATTAATTGAAATGAAGTGGTTCTCTTTCATTTGCCTAAAAACTTCAGTCAGTTATCATTTTTGTCCAAACCAACAACTGGACCAACCACTTGTCTGTCTCGCTGGACCACAGCACTTCCCTAATTTGCTGGGTCTTCCAGTCATTAGCAAGGAAACACCACTGGTGTGAGAGGTTCTCTACTCGATATCAGAAGAAACAGCTGACAGCTACCTCTTCAACTCCGGGACTAACTACCAGAGTCCCAAAAAGAAAACACCCATTTGAAGCCGTGGACGGTAAGACGTTTGGACCTGGAACTTAGTGAGGATGATGTTGCTAACATGAATTCGGTTTCTGCGGTTTGAATGGTTCTGGATGAAAATAACACCTTTAAGTTAAAGGGTCTTTACGGAGTTTTGAATTTTTATGCTCGCGATTGCCCCCTCTGGCCAAAAGCATAATGGCAGCTTCGACGGGGGTCAGCGTGTGTGTGTGTGTGTCCCGGAGGACAGAGGGCAGCAGAATGCCCAGCTAATTAATTAAATAATTTGTTTCTGTACCTTTTATCTTCAGTCTTCCTGCATGCTCAGATCATTCCCTTCCCTTGCTTGAAAAATTGTTCCAAAATGAAAGTTGAACCCACATCTTTTTTATCTGTGAATTCAATGCCGTTTGGCGAGTCTCAAATAAAAATCTGGGCATCTTACTGTAAAATAATATACCATTAATGTAAAAAAAGAAACTCTAAAAAAACCGTGTTCTCACTCAGAATCCCAGAATGGTGCCCATCTCCAGCGGTCAACTGGCAATCAGGCGGGGTACACCCTGGACAGAGTGCCAGTCCATCGCAGGCCAACAGCCATATAAACCAAAAGCTCTAACAGTGTTTTCATATAACTGGTTATTAGTTATTTGATAACTAATTAAGATTCTATTTTAAGTCGAAAGAGTATGTGCACTAAATGAGGAAGCATTATCGACAAGATTACTTTTTTCCTATTAACCCAAAGTACGTCATTTAAAATGACTGAAACTGAACTGCTTGCTTTAGTTCTGTGAGGTCAAGGTCACATTTATTTCTAAAGCACACTTATTATTGCTTCCGCAACCCAACGTGCTGTACAACACAGAACATAAAATCGCAAGAAAGTATAACTAAAAACCATAAAACCATAAAAATTAGCAAGTTAGGATAAAAACAGCATTCCATCACACAATTATAAAATCAATAAAAAAAAGAGAATGACAATAACTAAATAAAATCATCCTACATAAAAACCAGGTTAAAGACATCCAGATTTTGTGAGGTCCGGATCTGCAGAGGAAGACTGTTCGAGTGTAGGACCGGCCACAGAAAAAGCCCCATCTCCTCTCGTCTTTAGGCGAGTGTTGTTTATCTACAGAAAAAAGAACCAATGCTGTAAAGTTATTTTTTAATGATTTTCGTTAAGCCCTTCAAAACCTCACGTTTTGCTTTAAAATACATTATATACGTGGTTTCCCATTTGGAACACAATCACTGACTATTTCTAACGAAGGCCACGCTGCAAGGTAGACCGTTTCACCTTGAGATGAAAATGGAGTGAGGGTCATCTCAGTAGAAGTAGTTCAACCCTGCTGAGAGCTGACGGTGAGCAGCGTTCTCCCCATGTCCCAAATATCTTCCCGGTTTGTCTGAATCCATCTCCTCTACAAAGCCACGTCTTTGCCTCCTTTTCACTGTCAGCTTCCTCCCCTCTCCGTTATTTCCTCCGGAGCTGTCTGCTGCTCCCTGTCAGGGAAACACTGAATTAGAGCACTGAGCTCGGTGTCCAAGCACCCTCGGGTCATTTCAGTCTTCGCTCTGCCAACTAGTACAGCAGACATGCACTAGCAGCACATTTCTGTGCAGTCCAGAGTCCCAGTTTCCCAAATGCTTCTTGGCTGCATCCAAGCAAGGAAAACCTGACATTTTGAAACGGCTTTGACGGGAGACGCTTTCTGTTCTGTCGTGTAGATTTTGCTGCAAATGTGAGGAATTTGGTACCCAACGATGCAACGAAAACCTTGAAGTTGAGCTTTGTGATGCTATTTAATGATATTTGGTCTTTTGGGACACGGGGACAGACGATGCTTCTTTGATACACATGATGTTTATGACCTGTAATTAAGACATGAACTGCTCAGGGAGCCCTTGTGTGTTCAGGTCAGCTGTTTTTAGTGGGTCACATTAACGTTGATCTCCCTGTTGCCATACAAGAAATGAACCTGGCTGCCACTCTCCACCTGATATAGTAAGTGTGAAGTTTTTCTCCTCAAGCTCATTGGTTTCAAGGTAAATTCATAATCACAGAGCACATTCTACACACACACACACCACACACACACACACAGAACCCCTCTTTACCGTTTATGGATAACCTTCCCTCCTGAGGCCTCTTGCACCCTCTCCCCTGCTCCCCTCACGCCTACTGAGCTCATCCCGGGTGCCTGCTTTGCCTGTTCAGCCACTCAGCCCACCCACGCCCTCACACTCAGTCCCACCGAGCAGCGGCAAACATTTTCCTGCTTTCTTCTTCTCCTCTCTGCTGCCACCCACTCCAAAAGGCTGTGAATCACCGCCTGACACGCTGCTCCAACAGGGCTCTTGTGTTTTAGACAGGGAACAACCAACATCTTTTTTTCCTCTTGGTTTGTGAAGCATGGCCCATTATTGCAATGGCTGACTTGGACATAGGTAAAGAAGAAAAAAAAAGGCTTTGAATACAGTTTGCATAACCATGCAGAGTGGTTGCAGGCTTACGTGTGTGTGTGTGTGTGTGTGTGTGTGTATTTGTGCATCTAAATACTGCACTGGCATGCACGTGCCAAGGGACCCGGAGAACAAATTAATTGTTCTCTCATGAAAATGTTGTTTAGCACTTAGTGGAGTGATTCAAGTGTTTCCAAAATCAGTCTTTGGGACTGACAGGCGAGTCCTTGCTCTGTTTTCTGAGAAGCTCTGCTTAATGATTCATGTCCCCCCAATCTGTCTGCAGTCACGAGCTTTTGTATGAGGAGCAGTCGGCCTAAAGAATGACTTATCATCTGTCTCTAAACCTTAAAAACAATTTATGTTTGTTTCAGCTGATTTGATGTTTGACTGAATTTATGTTTTAAATGAAGTGGGCAGTTGGGGACTTTTTCCTTTTGGGGGGGGAGGGGGTCATTTTGGCCAACCAATGTGGGAGGTTCCCACTTTGGTTGGCCATGTTTAATTTTTGATTGAATGACTATCAGCAATGATTTGAAGTGATGCAATTAATCCAATTTTTATTTCATGCCCAATTACAAAAAGTATGTAAACAAAATATATATATTTTTTCACAATTATCTTTGCATGCTGGCATTTTCCTCAGTTAAGCATATTTTCATCAAAGGTTAAAGACTCGTGTGTTTGTGGAGGTAAATTGCAAATACTAATGGCAGAAGAAGGGCAAAACACACTGAACCCTGAACACCTGGAGCAAGAGTGTCACATTATGGCAGCGTTGCGGTCTCCGTGGCCAATCGAAGCTGTTATGGTCTTTAGTTTGGCTTTCACTGAACGTGCTGTTGCCTGTGCCAGATGCATCACTGCATACCTTTGATCCAAGCTTCCAGAATGGGTCAAGCTCTGCAACTAAATTAGAGCTAAACAGGAAATCACACAGTGCATCAGTGTAACACATCCAGTAAATTTCAAAATAAAAGACAAATGCAGATTTGGTATTGTTTCCCTGGTTTCACACTGAAAGCATCAGTGGAACGTCACTGCTTCTAATAGAATCCATTATAATCAATGGAGTGTTTCAAACCAGAAGCAATTTCCAGGTGTGTCCCAGAAGCGGCAGGCCACACCGCTAAATATAGGATCAGGTTCTATTTTTGTAACGAGCCGCTTCTGGGATGCCTCAATTTCTGCAGTTAACATTGGGGTAGACAGGAAATTACACATGGTTTCAGTGTAAAATCACTGGTAAATTTCAAAATAAAAGTACTGCAGCAATGCTATTTCATATATGAAGCTAACATGCGACCCAACGGCTTATTTACTCACAGCAGTTACTGTGGCAGTAATGTGGTACGATTACATATTTTTCACAAAAGATTAAGCGATAGCAGTTTACAGGGGTGCCTCCAGAAAATCTTGATGGGGTGGCCAGATGGAGCCAAACAAATTTTTGGGGTGGCACACCAAATTGGTCCTTGTGGTAACTCTGGGAGAATTTAGCCTGTGGGAATGTACTGCATTGTGCCTTTATTCGTTTATATTAAAACAACTGTACGTATCCAAAACATTTAACTTAAACTTTACAAACACAAACATTTCAGAAAAAGACATTTCAGTTATTTAAAATGTTAACCCTAATTTAATTAAAAAAATGTATTTTTAGGTTAAGTCACCTGTTGCTGTGTTAAAAAAATGGAGATAAAACAGTTTTAAATGGTGAGCAGCAGAAACATACATATTTTTTGTATTCTGACTTTCTTTACTCATTCATTGTAATATTTTTACTTTGTTTTACAATTATTTCTTGAATAAACAAGATCAATATATGATTTGACTGAACATTAATATGATTTGTTTACACTGCTTTTCTTGGGGTGGGGGTGGGGCAGCAATTTTCAGGGGGTGGCCATGGTGGTATAAAGGGGGTTTGGAGGCAGTCTCTGCGCTGTCATGGACTTTCTTTCAGCTTGGAGATATGGTTGGAGATGTTTTTATTGCGATTGAAGCGGTGCTCCTTAACTCATTCACTGCCAGCCGTTTCCTGATCGCTAAAGGCCTTCGCTGCCAGCGTTTCTCACCGTTTTTACTGTTTTTTTAAGAGTCACAGAACGTTGCGCGCTAGCATGATGTCGATGCCAAAACAACCAAAACAAAGAGGAGACTCACCTCTTACATCAGGAAGAGTCCGCGTGTTTCGAGCGTTTTCCGTTCTTTCATAATCCGTTGTCGAATTGTGATCGGCAGACGCTTTTCCGGTTTGCGCCTCACTTTTTTTACAGGAACGGCCCAAAAGGATCTCCTAACACATGGATGTGTTGCTTCCTGATCATGTGATCTGTAACGTATGCAGATGAAGATCGGCTTCAGGGCTGAGATGTTTGTTCTCTCAGCGCGGGGGCTTGTTCTGATGCTCAAACAGTAAAAAAATGCAAATGACGACTTCAGTCGTCAATGGCAGTGAATGAGTTAAGTTTTTTCACAAGCCGCTCCTAAAGGTGTCTGTTCTCCACAGTCCCCAAGATCTGTCCGTGACTGAGCTCCAGCTCTAACGGAGAAGATCCCGGAGCTCTTCATTACTCTAGTTTTCCATCTTAGCCGATTCTGCTTACAAAAGCAAAACTTATGCACACGTTTACGCTCATTTTTAATAGTTACTGGCTGGAGCTCTGTGGTAATTCCACATGTGATCTCAACACCTCCCTCTGTTGCACCAAGACGTAAGCTTCATTCACAAATCCAGCGTTGGGGTAATATTACTACCAAGCCACCACGGTGCATTCATAAGACACAACATGGTGGTGGTATTACGCTGATTTGTCGGCATGGTGTGTCTTATGAAAACAGCTCTTGAAAGAAGGTTGCCCATATCACCCTTCTTTAGCCTTTCCATTCTGAAGTGGGCTGAGTATAGACCCAACTGAGGCATTCAAACAGTCCACATACAGTGATTGAGTTTCATTTACACCGGTTCAGCCACTTGGCAATGTGAGATCATTTTCACCCACTGACAACTGATTGTCTGGATTACGATCTGCCAAAAAACACTCCACACAGATGGCAAGAGAGGGAAAACTGAGCCAGATTTCATCATCTCTTATAGGCTACGGCACAATAGAGGTCTAACTATTTCCTTAAGTGGGTTGATGTGTGCTTGTTGACATGTTTGTGCATGCAGATGGGTGAATGCAGCCTGTGAGTGTGAGTATGCGGCGTGTGTATCTGTCAGCAACTCACGCTGCCTGCAGAAGCTACATAGGCAATGTGAAGACTCGACAGGGAGCTCTGCTTCTCTTGTGTTTGCCAGGAGCAGATTTCCACCCACGGTGGGCAGGCAGGCTGGCTCAGTTGGCGGCTGGGTTGGCATTCACTGGATGACTTGGGTAGACAGCGGGGAAGGCAAGCAGCCATTCATAGCCACACAGAACAGGAAAGCTGGTTGAGAAATATTCAGCAGTAGATGATTTCTTTTCTTTTCCTCTTTGGCCAAAAAAGCAAAAATAAGACAATCTTCTTTTGGTGTAGACAGCTAGATACACGCTGTTTACAAGTTAATTGGTGTTGAAGAACACAACTTTTTGGGGATATTCAACATGTGGTTGGTTAAAATCTTTTCATCCTAGCCTAAAAACTAGGACACCTGTTTATTTACCATTAGACCAAAGTACAGAAGTCCTCTGATGCTTATTAAACCAGTTCAAAGGTGATTTTCTTTAGCTCATGTGGTTTCAACTGAAAATGCAGTTGCTATGACCAATGTTAATTGGCTTCTATACATTGAGCAGACAGCTGGGGTCGCCAGGAGTCCAGAAAGATCAGTAAAGTTGAACGGATCCTTTATCTGAAACCCACCTGGTAAAGGGAATATGATGATTCAGTGTGATCCCTTTAAAAATAATTCTGCTACAACAAATGAAATAAATGCCTTTATTTAGAAAATGACATGAAGTTGTTTTTATTCTAAGGGTGATTGTTAAATCTCATTAAAAGCCTATGAGGAGTTAACTTGACACATTAATGCGTTTTGGTGTACTTAATTGCCTTAATTCAGGGTTGTCTGGGTGTTCCATGCGCGCGCGCGCACACACACACACACACACACACACACACACACACACACACACACACACACACACACACACACACACACACCTCCCACCTGCGAGGCTCTTTCTGTATCTCTGTCTCTCTTTCGCTCTCTCAACACTTTTCTCTCAGCTATCCAAGATGGCGGCAGCGTCGTCCATCCAGCCGCCGATCGTTCACTCTTCCCTCACCCGGGACAGCGCACTTTCCCCGGAGATGGACAGCCCCGAGAGCCGGCAGCCGGAGGATGAGGAGGCGACGGCGGCGCAGCCCCCTGAGTCTGGGGTTAGTGTCCGAGACCTGCCGGACCTGGAGCCGGAGGAGGTGGAGAAGCGGCTGGCCAAAACTCGCCGGGAACTGAGCAACAGGAGGAAAATCCTCATTAAGAACCTGCCGCCCGACACCACCAACCAGGTAAAAGCGGGAGAGAAAGTAGCGCGCGCAGCGAGCGTAGTTATGTCAGCGCGAGCCTGAACTCCGCCGTAGTTTGTGCCAAGTGTCGCACTTAGATTTTCATCAAACGAAAAACAAAGTAACTAAAACAAAAGTCTGCTTTTGTTCTCCGCCTCTGTTGATTTGATTGATTTTTATTTGCATAGAGAATGATTTTTGTCAAATAAAATAAAGTAAGAATGTGACGTAAAACATTAAATCTACAGGGTAGCAGCACAAAAATGTAAAACAGGCTCAAACAGAATGAAAATGAGCATGAACTATCAACAAAAACTTCTTCATCCTCTCTACATGCACACTTTGAAAAAATATAATTTACTTCTCATGTTTTACTTTGCCCTTTGCTGCTTTATTCCACTAAAATCACAAACTATTATTTACAGTTTCAGTTACATTTTAGAATATTTTACAGTTGCCATCTGTCAGCCATATCTATCTATCTACCTCCTTGTTTCAGTCACATATAAATAAAAGTGCATATTTTATATTATGTACTTCCAGTGACATCAGCCTCAATAAAGTTTTGGTGACTTGGATCAAAGATGACTTTTTACAAACTCTTCAAACACTCATTCACACCATTTTTAGTTCTCATTGCCTATATTCCTGTACAAATGCAACCAGTGGTGTAATCAGCTCATTTCATTACTCTGCTCCCAACTGTAACTATAAAATGAGAAAGCACATGCAGTCTGAACCAGTGCGTTTCCTTTTATGGAGGTTTAGAAAGAAAAACGTATTTTCTTCATGCAAACTTAAATGTTGGCATGCATCTTCTTGGAGATCACTATGCTATTTATTATTTCATGAGCGTTTTGATTTCTCTGTTCATCACTTGTGTCAGCTTGCAAAGCCTTTAGGAGGCAGCGTGCGGAGCCCGCGCTGATGGTGTGTTCCTTCAGGCTTGCAGCACCAAACATTCCTAAAGAGGTTCGCAGCCAAGGGGAGCCAGCGCGCTGTCATATTTTGCGAGCGCGTGAGGAAAGCGAGGCAGTGAGCCTGTTTTAAAGAGCGTGACTGCATGCTGTGCGTGAGACATGACAAGTAGTGGGAAGAGGAGAGGCCACTTGGACCAGGTGGAGCAAGAGAAGAGGAATTTCTCTGTATTTTCCACATGGTTCACGTGTCAGGCTGAGCTTCAGTGAGGCAGAGCAGCTGTACAGCTGAAAGTGCAGCACGAGCTGCAGTTTAAACGTGTTGTGACTCTTTGAGGCATCTGTGCATGAGTTTTGACTGGAAGCTGCTAAGCTGACATAGACATGATCTAAAGAAAACCATTTATCATACTCAAATATCAAGCTTGCTGCATAAAAGCATTCTGCTATTCTCAATTGATGTTCACATTACATTGTCTTCCATAAGATTATGTCTCCATCTTCTAAAAGCTGTCTGATGGACTCTTGAGCACCCAGCCGACCCCTTCCTTCATTCTTCCGATACCGACTGCCCCATTAGTGAACTCTCTGGAGCAGTCTGGACCAGAGTGCACGGTGCACTGTGTCAGATATATGGCCTGTTGACAGTCCTCATCTCAGGGATTGGTGGGGGGATGGGAAAGTGCAGGAAGGATGAAAGTGTTGGTTGGGTGAGAAGTAGAAAAGGAAAGAACGTTGAAGGAGAGCAGGACGAGGGAATCTGCTGAGTGACGCAGATGTGAGATTGTTTTCATAATCACTTATCAAACGTCTGAACAGTGGAAAGGGAGTCGCTTGTTGCAGTGAGTTTAAAGTGAATTATCATGTTTATGTTTATTAATTCAGCAGATGCTTTCATACAAAGCGACGTACAATTTGTGGATAAAGAAATGCATTTAATTAACCTAAACATGCATGCATGTACGTGGGAGGAGTCCAGAGTACCTAGAGAAAACCCACGCATGCACTGGGAGAACATCCTAACTCCACCTAGAATGGCTGCAGCTGGGTTTTAAACCTGCAACTTTCTTGCTGACAGGCACCAGTACCTCCAACTGCATCACCATGCAGCCACACAGTCTTTGGGGGTTTATTAGTTCTCAGTTCAGCTCAATTCTCTATAATTTTGTTTCACTTTCAGCAATTTCTGCACTGAATGAAAAACTGACTGTACAACACAATCATCGAGCTTTTAGCTGAGCGGAACGGTATACTCGTGACTTTTGCTGCATGCCAGTACACATCAGGAGAAACTCAGCTGCAGAGCGACTCCTCTTCCGTACTCCTTGCTTAACTCGCGAGGTCACAAAATCCCTTGAGACTTCAAAGGTCACAGGTTGTTTATGCCGTGTGCCATTAAACCAAAAAGAAGGAAATCCCGTTTGATGTCGCTGTTTGATGTTGTATATCATGCTGTTCCTCTCCACTGCCAAGATTAAAGCCGTTAGGTTACTCGTATTGATATATTCTAGGCTGCGCAGTGGCGCAGTGGTTAGAGCTGTTGCCTTGCAGCAAGAAGGTCCTGGGTTCGATTCCCGGCCTGGGGTCTTTCTGCATGGAGTTTGCATGTTCTCCCTGTGCATGCGTGGGTTCTCTCCGGGTACTCCGGCTTCCTCCCACAGTCCAAAAACATGACTGTTAGGTTGATTGGTCTGTCCAAATTGTCCTTAGGTGTGTGTGTGTGTGTGTGTGTGTGTGTGTGTGTGTGTGTGTGTGTGTGTGTGTGTGTGTGTGTGTGTGATTCGTGGAGGATGGCTGCTTATCCTGAGCCAGGATTCTCTGGAGGTTTCTTCCTGTTAAAAGGGAGTTTTCCTCTCCACTGTCGCTGCATGCTTGCTTAGTATGAGGATTGCTGTATAGTCACTGATACTCGTCAGTGACTTGATGCAATTTGCTGGGTTCCTTATGTAGGAAACATTATTTCTGATTGGCTTAATGAACTGTGAATTGGAATGTTTATTATGCGAAGTGCTTTGAGACGACTCTTGTCGTGATTTGGCACTATATAAATAAACTTGAATTGAACTGAATAACAGTGATATTGATATCAGATATTGGTATCAGCCCAAAAGTTTCATATTGATGCATCACTAAATCAAACACTATATTTAAAAAGAAATAATACTTCGGCGGGACGTTTAGAGGAGTGCAGAAGGAAGGTGCAGTATGCTGACGGCTGGAAACCTTGTTCTGTTGTTGCAACTACAACCTCCACACACTAGATGTCGCTTTGGAGTTTGTGTTCCATATTCCACCTTTAAGACATCAGACGCTGGGGGTAAGTGTTTATAGGCACAAAAAAAAATAAATAAAAAAGGACAATCTCTAAAGATTCTCTCTGAATCAGTCATTTATTTATTTATTTCACTAGCCTTAATTTAACACTGGAAGCAAAGCTTTCCTGGTTTGAATATTAAAGCTTAAATTATTAACGTCATATGCACAGTTCACTCAGGCGTGCACAGTGGGGTTATGGAGTGATCGTTCTTTTCCCTCGTGATCTTTGCTGGAAAAAGACGCCAGCCTGAAGTGATGACATGAAGCAGAGAGCAGCCAGCCTTCCTTTTACCCCTCAGATGTTTATAACAGGTTTATTGGAGTGCACAGCTAGATGTCTGTATTTACCTGCATTAAAATCTTGTTTTCAGAGAGCATTAAATTCATAATCTCTACTGATGTCATGATGATAAATTGAAAAAGACTGTACCATTACAAAAATCTGATTGTAAACACAGAATGACACAGCAGGTCTTACACTGAAAATGGTTGTAAAAAGAAGCATTCGAAATCTAAAAAAATAGTGCGCACCACTGACATGCTTCCAGTAAAAAGTGGTTTGTTGTTTGCATATGAATGCAGGTAAATACAAATACATGTAAATATGACATTTAGGATATCACCAGTGCTGTTCTCTATGAAACTTCCTCTTCCTCTCACTTTACATGCTGAGGTGTGTGTGTGTCAAGTTCAGCATCAACAGCTGATCATCTTTTGATTCATCTAAGATTTAAATCTTTGAGGCTAAATGGTGGAAGTGGGAGTTGTGCTGACGGGATAAAAGGTTTTTGAAGTAACCTCGATGGGAAGCTATCGACTAGATGAGTGCAGGAGGAATGGAGAGAAGGCTAATTGGATAAAAGGCTAAAAATGATTGTGAAGGTGTGTGTGTGTGTGTAGGTGTAGGTGTGTGTGTGTAGGTGTGTGTTGTTTCTGCACTGCTTTGCGTCCTACTGTTTTACAGCTGCTGGCAGCATTGTGCATTAATGTGCTTGTCGTGAAAAAGGCAAACACGTTTTGACCTTGCTCTGAATCCTGCTGGTTGTTGTTTACCAAATGTCTTGAACTTTTGACCTTTACGTATTCGCAGCAATAACTGGCACCCCAATGTCAGGATGCGCAAATTAAGAACCACATCAAGCACTGATGTTCTTCTACTGCTAAAGAAAATGGTGCTGCAGGGAACTGAGTTGTGTGTTTGACCTTCCCGTGGAGGTCCAGACTGATCTGGACCCGGTCATTACAGAACACACAGTGTAATTGACACTGTACATAAATGTCAGATGTGCAGGTTGTGTCAAGCATTTATCCATTCGAGTCAACAACTTACAGTCAGGCCAGCAGCAGCTCTGTGGGCGCAGACCTGTTCGTGTTTGTAGTGTTCAGATCAGAATGGCAAGCGTGAACCGTGCAGGGCTTCACTCCTGTAACAGAACCCCCCTTCAGACCACAACGTGATGACATCGTGCAAGTTATGTACGCTGATTGATTTACCTTGTTGCTGTCAGTCAGAATTTTACAGCTTGAAGGCATCTATTGTTTTTTCTTTTAAATTTGTTTAGTTTTATAATTTGCTTTGAGCTTTTCGACATTTCTAACTGTTAACAATGGGATCTGTCGTTCTGTCAAATCGAAGGGACAGAAATGTCACCCGTGTATGCCTTTGATAACACACGAAAACCTGTTTTTGTTGAAAAAAAATTCAGAAAACACCTTGAATTTTCTAGTTCATGCGACAAAATGAGTCAGTTTTAACCACAGAGTGGTTAT